GTCTTCCATAGCGTGTGCATGTGTGTATATCTCTATCCCTATCTCTATCTATCTATTTGATGCTCAATTATATTTGTTGATATGTAGACAAATAATATTTGTTGATATGCAAATGAGTAACATTTTTTTTTAGTATAAATCTGGCCAGAGCAGCTAACCCCATTGTATTTTCTTCACAAGTTCAGCTACTCAAAGCAATCTCAGCTCTTAAGAGGTTTTGCTTATGAAAGTGAGAGCATAGATAAAGAGGGTAATGTGTATTTAGAAAAGTAATTTTATCTTAACTCATTGGACAAATATTTGTTGAGTATCTACCATGGGCCTGGCACTGGGACGAGAGTGAACTTGGGGCAGACAAGGGCCCTCTCCTTATGGGCTTACAGTGGACAGATAATTACGCACTGAAGAGATAAACAATGAGATAAACTATGAAGAAACTAGAAAAGAGCAGTGTGACAGAGTGTGCTACTGGTCATGGGCAGAGGTGGGAGGAGGAGGCAAAAGGTAGCTCTAGAAGGGGCAGTCAAGGAAGAGCTGACCTGGACTGCAACCTGAATGAGAAGAAGGAGCTGGCGATGTGATGATCTGTGAGGACAGCACTGGAAGTAGAGGGCTGAGGAAATAGCAAAGGCTGTCAACTGAGAACCCACTTTGTCTGTTCTGGAAATGGAAAAAGTTGAGTATTAAAAGAATATAGAGCCCTGGCTGGTGTGGCCCAGTGGACTGAGTGCTGGCCTGTGAACCAGAATGTTGCCGGTTCAATTCCCAGTCAGGGCACATTCCTGGGTTACCAGCCAGGTCCCCAGCTGGGGGTATGCGAGAGGCAGCCAATCAATGTATCTCACACATCGGTGTTTCTCTCCCTCTCTTTCTCCCTCCCTTCCCCTCTCTCTAAATATAAATAAATAAAATCTTTTAAAAAAAAGAATATAGAAAACTATGGTAGAGTATATGGTGAACCAAATGTATATGTTTGTGTATACAGATGTACCCATAGAGTCTGTAGGAAAAAATAAAGAAATACACTGTCATGTTTTAAATCATTCCCTAAAAGTGCTATATAAATAGAGGCGTCAGGATATCTAAGAGTTTCTTCGCTCCTCAACAAAAGAGCAAGCTCTTTGAGGGCAAGGAATCTAATCTGTCCTGTCATTCTTTTTTACCACCTCCTAGCATAATGTCAGACCCTTGATAAATATCTGATGAATGAATGCATGAAGAAATGAATAATGCCCAAGACTGAGATTTCACATGTTAATATTGTCTGCTTTTTGTCTATCTTTCTGTCTTATTTGGTATTGCATCTGCACCCAAATACAATCATATAAAATGAAAGAAAAATGCTGAAATGTAAGAAAACCAATTTAAGGTCTTTGATGATTCTAAGAACCAAGGAGAAAACAGAGTAGGGAAATTGGCAAGAGCACTCTCATGTATTTATATATTGTTTGTGCTTTAGGGTGAAAGTGCTGATTTTATGACCCTATAATATAGAGGCTAGTGCATGTGCCATTTCTTAGAAAAGAGCCTCAACCTAAGAAAATAAATAGCTTTTATAGTCTTTAATCAGAAGGATCTCCTTGAAAATGCAAAACATGATTGTTTAAAGAGAAAAATAAATACTTACCACCAAATCATGGACATTATGATTTTTTAAATTTCAAATTGTTTTTTAAATAAAAAGTCAGTCCATTTATTTTAGTGGAAAACTCTCAGAAAAATCTTGGGAGTTAATAATCAAATTAGTGTAGTGATTCTAAAGCCCATTGTTGATTTGTGTTTATTTTAATAAATCTTACTATCCATACTGTGCAACCAAGAGGTATTATAACCTGGGCAAAGTCACCTGTCTTGTGTAGGAACTACAAAATGGCAATTGTAATTCATATGTAAAAACTATTTTATTTAAAATGTCAATTGTCATGAAACTGCCTCTGGAAAGGTCTTGGTACATTTTGAAACAATCTTTCTATCTGTCAATCTTTAAACAAATGACAAAATTAAAATCATTTCTACTGTCTACCTGTATACACCTGCTTAATTAATTTTTTAAATTATGTACTGTCAGAATTATAGGAAAACAAATAACAGATTTTGAAAATAATTCTAGCAACATATATAACATTCATAACTTTTGGGTGACAGACCAATTGTTCATGGCATTTACATGCTCTTTACATAATCAGAGCTGTTACTGAAGTTTAAAAGAACTTTCTGTGCTTGACATTTGGATGAACATTTGGTGGGGGAAAGCATATCTTTCCCCAAGTTTCTGTAATACACATTTACAAACAGAGCTTTGTAGATAAACTTCCAAGAAATTTGATCTCACATTCATCTGCTGAGCCTGGAGCAGGGACATGGTTGGGTTTGCAAGATGAAACAAATTAATGCTTATCAGTGCCCAAGCCAAGGTTTTAGTTAATGTGCTTCTGTGCCTTCCCACTCCCACCCACTTCCCCAACTGCAGTTAAAGTTCAACCATTTGGGTTCTGAGTGCACCACAGCGAGACTGTGATTGATACCATCGGATCTGAAACTGTGCTTTGCTATTGGGTTAGGCAGCCAGGCAGGAGGAAAGCAAGGCCAACCCTACTACATATCCCAGAATGTAAGGATAACTCTGGGAGGCCAGTGCCACGTAGCAAAGAAGGCCAATTCCTGTGTTGTTTACTTTTTATAGACTCAGGATGCCATGAATCAAAGAGAGCCCATCGGACCTTCTACTAAGAATCTCACTCTATTAAGAGGACCCAGTCTAAGTGTTTCCCCGGTAAAGTCAAGTGTATTGTAGCTCATATGACCTTTAAAAACCTCTGCTGGGTAGCCAATTGTTAAAGCTCCTCCAAGGAGGAGTGAGTCTATGTATTGTAATGTATTGCTAGTAAGCATCTGTTATTTCAATGGGCCTGTCCTACTGAATTGGCTTTTGTAAATGTACACATTCCATCAGCCCAGCTCTCTTAGTTGAGACTTGGAGCTGACAAGGCCACAGTTCATACTGTTTCCTGCCTATTGAGTGTGCCTCTGCTGTGAGGGATGTATGGATAACTCCGTGAGCCAACTATGAGTCCTAATAGCTTAGGAAACATTTATCAGAACACTTCTCTCCTCTGGCATCCTCAGTACTAAGCTGGCTTTATGAGGGAATGGAAAAATAACCCGTGTGGGTTGAGACCCCTGTCGATTACAGCGCCAGCTGGAAGATTGGTGTATGAAATACGCGGCCAAAACGATGAACCACTGCATTGCTCACCAGAGTGGTCGTTTGATTTGCTGACAAAAAGTTATGTTTACAAGTTCTGGCCAAGATAATGCCGTTGTCGCTAATAACAATGCAAGAAGTCAAGTGTTCCTAGGGAAGTATCTTTTACTTTTTGACCCGGCTCCTGGCCTTCCCTGCTATTGATGCATGGTATCTTGCTAATGTGTTTCTTATTGCCAGGTAAGGAGCTCAAAAATAAAATGAAAAATAGTCATTATGTAGACATAGCACTAAAAATTAGAGATCTGGTATATAAATGACCAAAAGCCTATAGGCACTGAACTTGAAATTAATTAGGTCAGGGCTGGTAGTTAAATCAAAAATCCAAATGGCTTTGAAAATGCAGCTCATGGCAGTGGCTCTTTCTTAGGGATGTTGCTGGGATGTGAAAGGCTTCGTTTACATCAAGGGTTTGAAGGTGAATGAAAATTTTGAGGGGACCAAATAAAACATGGGTCAGAAAGTACATTGATGTAATGGCTTCCAGAATGCATAAATAGACATTTTTAAAACAATGAGTGATTTAAAGTTTAATGTGAAGTAAAAATAACACATGTGGTATTAAATGAAAATAGTACCAGGAGTATAACACAGTACACCTGTTTTTTTCCTAGGGACACCCCTTAATATTTATATAATTAACATCTAAATGAAGGTGCTGTACTCTATTTTATGATAAACCAAACTTAAATGGCATAGGCATATATTGGTATCCACCTACTTATAAAATGAGGATAAATTTAGTCACTTATATTCCTTCCTTTGGTCCTCTCAATATTTTATAATAAAATTATTATTTTTAGTTTTTCTGTAAGTCGGTGCCATAATGTTTAAGAATGTACTTGTTTCCTTTTTTTATTTGTTGAGTCATGTAATTTGCGTTGTCTCTTGAGGCTCCGTGCTGTAAGCTGAGCATGCTGGTGCCTTCCATTTCTCCATTTCTCTCCTTCTGTTTCTTGTCTTCCCTACGCCAGCTCCTCTTTCACTTTTTCACTTCTTGTATAACAGAATTTACATTCTGATTTAAAAGAAAAATTGAAAGCTGAGGACAATAAGGGACTTAGCTGCGGCCTCTTAGCTGGTTAATATCAGAGCTGAGACTAAAACTTGATGCTTTGACTCCCAGTCTAGTGGGTTTTCTGCAGATAAACTCATTGATTCACTCAGCAAATGTTTATTGACTGCCTATTCTGTGCCATGAGCTACATTAGGTATCAGTCATACAAAAATTACAAGAAGTGGTCTAAAATCTTACACATAATAGTCAAGTAGGAAAGACAGATGTGTAAACAAATAACTATGTTTCAGTATAATAATGCTCAAGGGAAGGTATTAATGTCTTTGAAGGTTTTTGTTTGTTTGTTTTTTTATCCCATAGGTCAGAGATTAGAAAAACTGATTTAACTATTAGAAACCACAGCTTTAACATGTTAAGGAAATAGTGTTTTACCCAGCTAACTTACGCATGTTGGAAAAATAAGTAAGATTTTGTCAGTATAAGGAAAGTAATTTTAATTATTTTAGATTAAATATGAAAGTAAATTTTATATATTTATAAATTACATAATTTATTATGTTTTATATGCTCAACATGTTCTTATGTCAGAGTACCCAAATATTTTTCAGGTATCCTTATAGATTAGTTAAGTTTTTTGATTTCCAGTCTAAGGCTTATGCATTTTTTAATTGATCCTTTTTATGACTTACAAACTCTTTTTTCTTTCTCTTCCCTTAGATTTTCATCACTGTGAACTGCCTGAGTACAGATTTCTCTTCCCAAAAGGGGGTGAAAGGACTTCCTTTGATGATTCAGATTGATACATACAGTTATAATAATCGTAGTAATAAACCCATTCATAGAGCTTATTGCCAGATCAAGGTCTTCTGCGACAAAGTGAGTAAAGATGACAGTTTGTCATAAAGGTATCTTTGTTATTAGATATTACTTTTAATGAACTTTCCCCCTTGTCACCTTCTCTTGTCTTGTGGTGTCAAAATAATCACCTTATCAATCACCGTGAGAATGGTAATCTTTCATTCTCAATTCCTATTAGATATCTAGGGAGTCATCAGTCAACTGTTTTTTGTTTTTTGTTTTATCAATCATTTTTCACCGCTAATTTAATGACTAATTGACATTGTATTGTGCTGCGTCTGTTTCACTTAGATAACTCAAATAACATATTAATAGTATGTCTCAGAACATATCAATGTAACCTTTGTTATCCTATGGGTTACATGGGGTCTCATTTAGAGGATGTTGGAATGGAAATGGAAACTATAAAAAGAGTGCATTAGTAAACATGCACTCAGTAGGAAATAACAGTTTTTGAATCTTACTGGATCCCACTATAAGAGACAAAGCAATTAGAATAGCTAAGCTTAAAATCCCATGACTATGTGACACAAGATCCGCATCCCAAATAGGGGTGGGACTAGGCATCAACCAGTTTAAGACTTTGTATTATCAGCATCGTTAGAGAAGGCAAAGGGGCCACTTGATTGTCAAAGAACAGGGCACCTACAAAATTGACCCAAGGTACACACTGGAGAGTGAAGAGGGCCACATGAAGTCTACTGTGCCATTAAAATGTTTGAAAGACATGGTGTAGCAGTGATAGAATGCAGGGAAAAGTGGGTTCTGTTAACAGAGAGGAGAGATGGTCACGAGGAGAGAATACATGAACTAGAAGTGCACTGGCTTTATGGGCATGCAGCATACTGGCAAATAGGGACATGCAGCTTAGTGGTAAATATTTCTAAAATATTGAATAGGCTTTCCAGTCATGACAGTTTCAGTTAGTGCCAATCACCCAGCCATCAGAGCAGTAGAACACCCTCAGGGACATAGCCTCCATGAGACAGAGGGTCGTTCAGTCAATAGACAGTTGTGGAGATGAGAAAACAGTGGGTCAGCAAGCAGAGGCAGCTAGCCCAGAGTCACCCGGTGAAAAATTAGAGGAGCTGCATGCAAATAACTCCTGTGAATTAATAAACAACTTTATGCATAAAATACCAAAATGACAACTAATGATTCAAAACCTCCACAAAGAGCCAAGATAGACTTTCGACACAAAACAAAAGGATCCAGATATATCTTTATTTCAATATATTAAACATAAAGAGAATGTCTTAAATTGATGTACAACATGGAATTTTAAAAGTACTCCTGGGAGAGTAGTTAAACAATTTGAATTCCCTTCCTTGATTGTGGAGTCCCCCTCCCTGAATCTCCCTTTTGCAAGTGAGGAGTAAAATTAGAGGCAAGGAGAAGGGGGGAAGGATGGGCCAAAAGCCCTGTGCAATCCATGTACCTTTGTTTCCACAGTTAGTGCTTAAAGGATACTTTTATAATTATTTTTTTCTGCAGTGTTGTTGTAATAACACTAAAAATCAAAGTAGAAATGCAGAATGAGTAGGGAGTGTTGTATTATTGCTTATGTATGCCCTGGAATAAGGACTTAAGAAACTAAGAGAGTAAATAAAATGGTCAATTATACTTTTTCTTTGAAAATATTTTAAAAAACATATCAGGTGAAAGGGAGAGTGTGGAAAAAAGGATTGTGTGGGCTTATTCAAAACATTTGTTTCCAAAAGTCAAAAAAGGTTAATCCACAACAAGGAAAGAAGAACTGGCAAAAAAAACCAACTTATTTATGGGTGTGTGTTTATACATGTGTATAAAAAGTGGAAAGAATCATATTAACAAACATTTTGCTGCAGAAAATAGATGGTGTGTTTTATAGCTCCTGTTTTAAATATAAGTATAATATATATCCATGCTAACTAGAAGAAAATGATTAGAGGATGTTGGAAAATGCTGGCATTTGTTGCAAGTTACTAGTGATGTAGAGTTTCTAGTGGGTAGTTTTTAGTTTACATATCCTGGTACTGAGGGTCAAGAACTTTAGGAAGAAAGGAAGGAACCTCACGGGGCAAGCAGGGTGTGTTATCTTTCACCACTGCTAATTTTTCCAATATGCTGGATACAAAATCTTTTGCTGTAATTTGTTGTCATATTTGCAGCTCTGATTTTAAAAACTAGGCATAACTTACTCCTGGAAGATTAAAGAGAAAGTTTAATTTTTATTCTTTATAAATGGTTGTGTAAATGTAAGTGATTAATTATTCTCTAAAGCAAAAGAATTAAGAGCTATTTCATTTTAAAACTGTAAGTTTCCCGATCACAGTCTACAGTGTTGGATGGAATTCTTTATTATTTGTAGTTCTCCACTTTGATTTCTAATTAATACACCTGTGATATTGCATATGACAAGAAAGCCATCTCTCTCTTTTTTTTTTTTTTTTTTTTTTGGTATGATCCTTCTATTGAAATATATCTATTCATGAATTAAAAATTCAGGATCTCTGTGTGTGTGTGTGTGTACCTATAATTAATACCTATGTCTAAATCTTTATATCTATATTTAATTACTTCCATTATCTTTCATGAAAAACAAGAGTTGAATAAATATAGCCAATTAGACAATTAAAAATCTACTACAAAGTTTAAAAGAGAAAAGTATCAAATTCAGCTCAAACCAGTAAGTAGTTAGAAGATCCACTACACAAAGATCTAAAATATAGTGTCGCCCTGACTGCTGTGGCTCAGTTGTTTGGGCATCGCCCCAAAGAGTGGAAGGTTGTAGGTTTGATTCCCAGTCATGGCACATGCCTGGGTTGCAGATTCAGTCCCTGGTTGGGGCCTGAGCAAGAGGCATCAGTGTTTCTCTCCCTCTCTTTCTCTCCCCCGCCCCTGCTGCTTCCCTTTGCTCTAAAAATAAATAAATAAAATCACTTTTTAAAACATAAAATAAAATATGATATCAGTGACCTAAAGAATGGAGGAAGGAGTAAGAATGAAGTCCTTATAGAATATATTCACACTTAAATGCCCTTCAGCTTAAAATAGGCTGTGAGAATGCTGTCATCAACAAATCAACAAATAAGTGCTGGCAAGGGAGTGAAGAAAAGGGAACCCTTGCGTACTGTTGGTGGAATTGTAAATTGGTGCAGCCACTATGGAAAACAGTATGGAGGTTCCACAAAAAATTAAATATAGAGATGCCATATGATCCACTTCTGTGTATTTATCCACAGACAACAGAAAACACTAGTATGAAAAGATATGTGCACTCCTATATTCATTGCAATATTACTAGCAATAGCCAAATATGGAAGCAACGTAGATGTCTATCCATAGATGAATTGATAAGAAGGTATGGTACATACATAGGGTGGGGCAAAAGTAGGTTTACAGTAGTTTGTATGAAAACTAATACAATAATTAATAAATAAATATATAAGAATAAACTGTTTGGCATACTCACACTGTAAACCTACTTTTGCTCCACCTTGCACATAATGGAATACTACTCGGCTATAAAAAAGAATAAAATCTTAACCATTCACAACACATGGATGGACCTAGAGAATATTATGCTAAGTGCAATAAGTCAGACAAAGAAAGATTAATATGTGTGATCTTCCTTATATGTGCAATCTAAAAAAACAAATGAATAAACAAAACAAAAAAGAAACAAACCCACAGAGAATAAGCTGATGGTTCTGCAAAGAGGGAGAAGGCGGGAGAATGGGAATTTTTTTAAAAACACACACACAAGAGTTGTATCAATTCAAACAGTAACTATGTATTTTGCAAAACTTGAGGAAAAAAGCCACTTTCTTTTTTTTTTAAATAGATTTTTTTTCTCTTTATTAATTCTTGTTTGGAATGGGTTTATTTTTTTCTTCTCATTTTTAATTTTTGTTTGGCCTAATCTTGGAGGCAATGACTTTTGAAGATTATGAAAAGCTAAATATACTCCTTAAAACCCACTTCTTGGTACCTTGGCCAACTTTAAATAGGATAAAGCACATTTTAAAAATAAATTTAAGAGAAACAATATGTGTCAAATAAAAAACAAAGATTGCCATTGCCTCTCAAGAGGTGGAAAAAGTGATCCCAAAATATAATCAGGAAATCTTCAGGCATATTTTTTAAATTTAATACTCAGTAATCAACATTTAGGTGGAGGAAATTTTTTCAAATGATAACTCTGGTATTTGTACCTAATTATAAAAATTATGCTCTTCTGGAAGAAGTAGGCTGTTTTTCCATTTTAATAATAGTGGAAAGAATATTTTCTGGAAGTTTCAGGTCACAACAAATCAAAGGGAGGAACGAAAGGAATTCCTGGAAGGACATGGTCAGGGAAGCTTTCACCATCTAAACCGAATGTATCAAAGCTCCCCTTAGTCATTGTGGAGTCAAAGCTTCGTACTAGAAACAAGAACTGCGGCCCTCCTACGAGTGTTTGGACGCTGTCAGAATTGTTCTGCCATGCTCATAGCTGGTCATTCTGGGCAGGAAGTTCTCTAGGTGCCAAGATGAGGCTCCATGGAGATCTGTTCTATGTTTTATGTTAATCTTTCATGTTAATGTCTGTAAAGTAATTAGTAGGCGACTTTATTTCCTAAAAATATACATCGATCATAAAGATATTTTGAAACAGATTAATTCCAGACCTTTTCCTCCTAGAAACGTACAAAATAAAACATGAATTTAGAAATAAAATTGCTTAACAAAACTTGGGATGTGTCTTGGGTGAGTTGTAATTTTCACAGGTAGATAAAGTTTCAGATTTCTATTTATATTAATCATGCAGTGCTCCAAATACATAGAAAAATGCCGTATATGGGCACAACAGAAAATGAATTATAGGAGCCTTTTGTTTGTATCTCATACCAATTTGAACAGAGAGAGAGCAAGAAAAAGGAAATTGTGTCGGAACATCTGTATTTGTGGGGTGAGAAGAAACTGAGGTAGCAAAGCTGACACAGAAGAGTGACAAGGAGAGGGGAGGGGTATCAGAGAATCAGAGGCCAAGGGGGAAAGCGATAGAAGGCGATGGTGAGCTGCTTAAGTAGGAGGGGATATGGAAGAGAAGCCAATGAAAAAATGAGGTCACAAGCAACAAAGGAGAAAAAAGGAGGTGAATGCACCAAGCTTTTTTCTACGTGGCTGAATAAGCACCGTCTCCCAGATCACATGAACATATGAAAACAAACACAAAATCATACTCTATATACAAAGAGATCTTACGTCCTGTCTAGATTCCTTATGCCCTCCGTCAGTTCCATATCTGTAATGATTATGAAAAGTTCCATCACAGTGAGCAAAGGAAAAGTTTTATAGGGGATTCACACTCGACTTGAGTGCCCTCTCCATGCCTAAAGAATGGCAGTAATAGGCCAAGCCTTCATCTTAGGACATTTATTATAATCACTAATGTTACTTAATTGGCTTCACTGGGATAGGAAGCTGGGTCTGGTCTTTCTGTATGGTTCCGAAATCGAAGTTGGCATAAACAGTCAAGATACCTAAAAAGGGAGAGATCTGGGAGAAGCAGGATCACGCTCGGCCTTCGGAACCGAGCCCAACCTCACTGGAGTGACAGAGATGGGACTGCCCCCCGCCTCCTCTCCTTGTTTTAACTCCTGTCTCTGTGATTTGTGTGCAGCAGTATTTCTCTGTGCTCAGATAACATACCTGGCATTGTCTGTATTTGTTTTTCCCTGTCAGGGAGCAGAAAGAAAGATCCGAGATGAAGAGAGGAAGCAGAACAGGAAGAAGGGGAAAGGCCAGGCCTCCCAAACCCAGTGCAACAACTGTGAGTGTCGCCGAGAAGGGGTAGGCTCTACTGGGTCCCCTAGGGGACAGGCGGAAAGAAGTGGGTGGCAGGTAAAACTACAGACTTTCAAGGGATTGCTTGCTTTTCCCTAACAGTAGAGATAGAGTAAATTGTCCCAGTGAAAAGCAAATAGAGTCAATGATCAGAGTGTTTGCGCTAGGAAGGACTTTGCAATAGCATAGAGACCAAAACTTTTTTGCTTCTACAGACAAGAAATCTAGGGCACAGAGAAGGGTCAGGGGCCTGGGTGGAAAAGGTGAAGGGATTAAACAAACAAACGAAAGATTCATAGACATAGACAGCAATATGGTGATTATTAGAGGGAAGGGGCGTGGGGGAGGTAGAAGGTAAAGGGGCAATAAATGGTGATAGAACACCACTTGACTTGGGGTGGCGAACACACAATACAATATACAGATGATGGATTATGGAATTATACACCTGAAATCCATATACTTTTATTAACCAATGTCACCCCAGTCAGTTCAATAAAAATTAAAAAATAAAAATCTAGGACACAGAGAAGGACAGGAGGGTGTGAGGGGACCAGCGCTCTGCCTCATGAGTGCTCACTGGACGTCCAAGTTCTTTCTGTCGGTTTGGTAGTGGGAAATGGGGGTCTTTCAAGTATGTTCGCAGTATGGCAATCGGAAAGCTTCACAGGAGACAGTCATGAAGGTTAGATAAGACTAGAGCTTGCATGTGAGAGTTCTTAGTCGTGTATAACCCTCTCATTTTTTGGATTTTTGATCACGTCCAGCCTCTGAGGGGAAGCTGGCAGCGATACCTTTACAAAAGAAGAGTGACATCACCTACTTCAAAACAATGCCTGATCTGCACTCGCAGCCGGTCCTCTTCATACCCGATGTGCACTTTGCAAACCTGCAGAGGACAGGACAGGTATGAGCTACCTGCTGACATCTTCCTGCCCTCCATTCATGGGGCTGGTAGAGACTTAAGAGAGAATCACTTCAGACAGTGTTGACCTTAAAAATAAAACCAACGTTCTGTGCACTCGACAGAGTCATTCCCTACTGAAAATGGATCTTTATACAAAGGAATGTCTCAGGAGAGGAAACCAGCTTACTGAGGGGAAGAAGAGAAGGAGCCGATATTAGTGAAGTGTTGACAAAGCTACGAAAGAGGAAGAAAAGTTAGAAGGCTGATCACCTGTAAGGAGTTTTGTTAGTTTTCCTGTGGAATTAGCCTAATGCAATAGAGCTCCACCTAACGGTGGGAAATTGAACTGTGCCTGTAATTTTATAAAGTTTCACAAGAAAAATTCCGTGATTAAATATCCCTTTAGTAAATTTTCCCTTTAGTAAATTAACAGATCCCATTAAATAGCTAAATCATTTTATGCCAAAAGTGATACTGTAGGCAAGCCCTTTAAAAAAATAATTTGTCTTCTAGATATATCTGCAAGTGACCTGAAACAGCTAATATTAACATAACAAATGTCGAATAATTAACTCATTATGGTAGCTCAAGTTGATAGAATATTATGTGGTCACTAAAGTTATAATGATGGAAACTATGTAGCAAAATGGGAACTAGTTATGATAATGTTTAGTGAAAAAAAGTAGCATACCTATTTGTTCTATACAATGATTCCAAATATAGAGGTGAACTTAAAGGGAACGAGGACAATTATAACACTTGATGATAGGGTTATGATATATGGATAAGTTTTTTCTTTCTGTAGCATCTTTAGTATTATTTATTTTATGTGATAAATTAAAGATGTGTGAAAAAAAGAAGATAGTAATTACTTCCCTAGTATTTGCCAGCATTGTGTCACTAAATCAATGGAGTTTTAGTGAAACTTGCATTGGTTAGTCTTCTTTAAATCCAAAGTCCTTTGAGAAAAGCTCTGTTTTGAGAAATAGGGACATACTGACTCACTCAAGTGTTTCCTCCATTCCAAGTGTTTCCTCCATTCCAAGTGTTTAGACACTCCCTGGAACTGACCTTAGTCTGGGAGAAGTCATTATTGGTGTCACTTTCACTTTTTGAAAATATTTTGTCCCTTAGTGTTGTTTTTGATATGTATGAGACAAAGCAGCTACACACAGCATGGTAACAAAATACCCATGGCTTTTTTTTAGAGCACATTCCACTAAAAACTAATTTGACATTCCCATCTTGTCTCATTTGTTTGATAGGAACAAGGACACAAAAGGGAAAGGAAGAATGTTATGATTTTTCATGATATGAGGGCCAGCACTAAATTTTATTTTATTTTTTAATTCTCAAGAACATGGTGGTGACTTGTGTATGTACAGTCTTTGCTGAGTGGGATTTTATGGAGTTAGATTCCCACACCTCGTAGGACAGGGGATAATTGGGTTACATTGTTTTTATCATTTACTGTCATGATTCTGGCTTCGACTCCATGTCAAACCTGACAGCCTGACCTATCCTCTTGGCAACATTCATCTGAAATATAGCAAGCGATAAATAATTCTTAACAGAAAAAGTGACCCAAGTCGGCTTCCCATGAGGGCCAGCCTTCTGCCCTCACTTGCCACCTCCGTGTCCTGAGCTGGGCCCCTGGCCTGTGGCTGAATCTGAAGGAAAGTGTAGCTCTTTACTTTATAGCTGGTTGGTTTCAGCAACAGCAAACATTGTCCCCGTGCCATAGGTGACGTTAGGTCCCACCATCGGAGGTTCACCCTTGCAGAGCCCACAGGCTGTCCCAGTGCCCTTGGAATCAGAGTTGGGGGTCCGTGAGGGGGTCTGCCTGAGCTCTGGGCAACAGAGGAGCACCTCAGCTGTTCCCTGGCACCACATGTGACTCTTCCATGGTTGGGCCACTTGCTTGACCAAGGAAAGAGACGCCTACTGTGGCTGGTTGAGGCTTTAAAGGCTGCCCTTTCTTAGAAGAACTGGAAGCCTGGGAGATAGGTCCCCAGAAACAGGAGGGAAGGCGGCAGTGCCAGAGGGTGAGAAAGAGACATGGGGCGGGAGATGGCAGAGTTTGGCCTGCTAAACAAGAGCCCGCAGTGGCAGGGCAACTGATGGGCCAGTGTTACCACGGTGGGGGCGGGGGAAAGAGGCGAGGATAGTGTGCAGCTCGGTAACCACTGCAGGCATGAGCCTTGTTAGAACCAGCCACATTGCAGCTCTGCCCAAATGCAGCGCAAGTAGCCCTCTACTTCACTCCGTGAGTCACTCTTGAGTGACACTTACAGGCACCTCAACCATCGTACAGCGATTCCTAGCCACCCAAGGACGTGGACTGGAGACTGGGGAATTTCCCTCTCAGTCCCCCAGGTACCCTCCTCCCCTGTGATCTCACTGATTTGCATGTGGATTGGAATATTTACCAGATGATTGTCAAAAACTAGTATGAGGGAACGAACCCACAGTGCAAGCACCATGGAGATCTTCAGGCTCCCTCTCTTTGCATGACAGCTGATATTCACTGCAGCTTTTGTACAGAATTCCTCTGAAAATAAGTGATAAGGAGCTTGGGAGAAACTGGGATGCAGAGGCATCATCTTCCCGGATACTGCACGCTCTGCCGGTATCAGCCGTCCTTACAGCACTAGACCCCACGGGGGCGCTGCTCCTCCCTCGTGCCCTCAGGAGCCGTCTCCCTGACTGTGGCTAGTGAGCCATCTTCCCCCAAATCACAGGAGTTCTTGGTAAAAATCAGGCTCCAAAGTTCCATTCCTGGTCTTTTGAATTAAACTCTGAAGGGGGTTCCAGAAATTCGCATTTATGACAAGGTCTGCAGATATTTTTCATGCACTGTAAAGTTTGAGAAACACTCTAAGAATTAACTTAGTGCAATAAGTCCTACAACCGGCAAAAAAGCAGCAGTGGGTCCTTATGTGACAGAAGGAGAAATGACCATGCCAGGACGATGATAGGGACTGTGTAGTAGAGGCCATTCAGTAGGGCCAGAAAACACGTAAGAGAAGGCTGCTGTCATCTCTGAGTCACCAGCCAACTTTGCAAAGAGGAGCTGTCCATCACCCTGTCATGTAGCAGGTGGGGCGGGTGCGTTACACCACGTTCAAAGCATCCAGCAAAGCACAAGCCAGTATCAGGACCATTTTACCAAAAATCCAGTTGTATGGCCAGTGCTACGGCCCAGGCTCCCTCACTCATGTGGGTCACTCCATTCGCAGCTAGATGGACAGTCCCGTTTCTAGTACATCACAATGACAGATTCTTGAATGCCGCACTGCAACTCAGGATGCGGGGTGGGGGAGGAAACATCTTACCTTCATCGTTTTCTGTTCAAGAAGAAACAAAACCTACGCTACAACAGTAGACATAAACACATTCAAGAGGGGGACGTTCCTCCTGGAAATCTGAACCAATGACTAGAGTGACTCATTCCTGAAGAGTTACAGGCAACCAGTTCTGTTACACAACCAAGTCCAGGCTTATCAGGGTCCCAGGAGAAAGTTTTAGGGAGGGTGTCTGTCCATGCATAGTGTGTCTCTCCCAGGAGACTAGGGCAGACAGCGACAAAATATACTAGGACTAGAGGCGATCATTGAAATTAATATGTAAGTGTCTGATAGTATCTTGGACATTGTTCTTCACCCAAATGAAAATGGTTTTGAAACCCACAGATAGAGCTCATGAAAGGTCTATGACTGATTTTTATAAGGAATTGGGTCAAGAGAACCTATGCACATAGCAGATTCCCTCTGGAGCTTTCCTGTTGCTTCATGAAATAATAAGGATGCTTTATAATTGCTTTAATTCTGAGTGTGCCTACTGCCATGGTGACTACCCAAAACGAGCCTTTTCTTCAAGATTTTCCTCTGGCCAGAAATACTTTTAAGAGCTACATGACCTTTCCCAGCTTGGAGACTGTTGGCTCCTAAATTTCTGAGGTTGCGGAATGCCAGGGGTTCAGGCCCCTCTGAGGGATACACAGAGGCCTAAGGGCGCTGCTGCCCGGCCGCAGGACCTTCCTGCTCCCCTCCCGCCGCCTGAGCCCAGCGCCCAGAATCAGCTCACCTGCGGCCTGGACGGGATTGCTCACTCACAGGCCCTGCCCTGGAGCCCCTCTAAACAATGATTTTCAGATCCTGCTAAAATATTTTCTTATTGTGCAAAGCAAGGTTTGGCTTAGGGCTCTAGGTAATCTGATCAGACTGACTTGATTGAGCAGGAAATAATCAGATTTCCAATTTTATTTCATTAATGTATAAGAATTAGCCCTATGGAGAATATGAGGTTAAGTTTACATTTCCTTAGATACACACATACACAGCATCATTAAACAGATTTGTCCTTTTTTTTTTTTTTTTTTTTTTTTTTTACGAGACACTTTAATACCTTGGGAAAGTCTGTGCATCATATAATATATTCACATTTTTGTCTCTGATAGTAAGCCTATTGTTTTGTTCCACAGATGTATTACAACACGGATGATGAACGAGAAGGGTAAGACATTCACTTCTTTCACTTAAACACCCAAAGTCAGTTCGCGTTGGTAAAAATGGCTCTTTAAGCAATGGGTAACTGCGGGCAGGGGATGGGACCTTCTGCTCAGCTCCAGACTCAGAGCTGAGAAGTGTTTGATTCTGGGCACTCAGAGGAAGATTGGGAGAACGCCATTTTTCCTTCCAAATCTCTCTTTCCCCTTCTCTCCTTCCCCCAATCTACCTTTGAATAACTAGCTATTTTTCTAAATGACACATCTCTTTGATTACATATTTTTACCGATCATCCAGTTACTGAAATCACTTTTTTGGCCTCAACACAAGATCAAGCTGAGCTTGAGGCAAGAGCCAAGGAGACAGCCTGCCTGCTTTCAGTATTACCTGGGCCACCTGCGCGTACCTCCGAAGCCCTTGCTCTGTGAAGTGAGCGGGGCGGGCTGGTGGTGAGGCTGGTTTGAGTGGGAGCGGGGAAGGCTGAGAACCTTTTCACTGTCCTTAGGGTTGTAGGTACAGAGAGTGTACCTAGGGCCACTGAAGGCTCCCAGGGTGTTGTACCTCAAGACTCTGCCTTGAACTTGCTGTCCACAACATTTTTTATGGGCTCCTAGAAATTTAGAGCCAAGAAGGAACCCTCAAGCTCACTTAACTGACCCTCTCTCCTAAGCAATGTAACATCTTCTACTACATCCTTGAAAAGCCAGCTTCCACCTGAATGTTCTCAGTGATAGAAATATTCTAAATATGCTCACTGAATCTGAGGTAGATTATTAATGTTGGATGATTCCAGCCCTCAGAAAGTTAGTTTGTTGAACTGATGTTTACCTTCTTTTGACTTCTACTGATTGGCTCTAGTTCTTCATAGGACCTGAATGCTGTGTTTTGTTTTCTTAAAAACAACCTACATTGATATTCATTTTTTAATATCTGCATTACATTACCTAAGCATACCTAAGACCTTGGTTTGCATTACACATATTAACTAAAAATCTCTAGATCAATTTTTTTTCAAACTGTAGTCAAACCAGGGCTTTCCTGTTCTTATGTAATTAACATATTAACTCATAAAGCATTTCAAGGTATAGTAAGTATAGCAGATATTACAGGGCTCGTTCCTGGAGCAGAGGTGGGTAAAGTACAGCTTGACGCCCAAATTAAGCCTACCACTTGTTTCTGTATTGTTCGCCAATTTTTTTTAAGATTTTATTTATTTTTTAGAGAGAGGAAAGGAGGGAGAAAGAGAGAGAGAGAAACATCAGTGCGTGGTTGCCTCTCACACACCCCCTACTAGAGAGGGTGTGTGAGAGGCAACCCAGGCACGTGCCCTAGACTGGGAATCAAACTAGCAATGCTTTGATTCCCAGGCTCGCACTCAACCACTATGCCACACCAGCCAGGGCTGTTCACCAACATTTTTAAATGGCTGAAAGTATCCAAAGGAATATTGCCTAACATGTGAAAATTATACAATTTCATTGGAACGCAGCCGTGTCAATTCCTTCATGTTGTCTATGGCTGCATTGGTGCTACCCCAGTGGAGGTCAGTGGTTGCTGCTGCGACAGTGTAGCCTAGAAAGTCTAAATGCTTCTAGATCTGCCCCTTACAGAAAGCAATGTGCTACCTCCTATCCTAAAGGATAGGCAATCTTAAAGAAGCCAAACCCTTCCCCAGCGGGCGAGAAGCAGAACCTTGTGCAGGACCTGACCTCCAAATTCTGAGTTCTAAATTTTCTGAATACTTAATTAGATCGTCCTTTTTATCTTGGCATATGGATAATGGTCAGAAATGATTAGCATTACCAGTTCTAATCTGTTATTCACATATTTTACAAGGGACAGGGTGGCGTCATAGGAAGAATGGTGGCTCTGAGCTTAGGAAGCCTGCGTACGGCGCCTGGGCTGCGGCTTACTGATGCAAAGCCTCGGGCCGGCTCCTGGACCCCCGAGCTCTGGTGTCCTCAATTGTAAAATGAGGATTTTGGTCTTTTCTGATAAAACGTAGCAGTCCTTTGTTTATACTTCAAGCATGGCTTCCCCTGGGATTGCTCCTTCAGGGTAAGGGCTTCGTGTGCTGCTAGACCTGAGGTCACTCACATCTTATCACACGTGTGCCCGTGGGATGGAGCTTGATATCAGAGAAAGCACCTTTCCCTTGTTCTGCACTCCTATTGTGGTACAGTCGCGTATAATTGGACAGACGTCAGGAGACCTGAGATTCATGCTCTTTTCATCTGTCAGATGGGGCAGGCATGTCTGCCCCCCCTTCCTTGCCTTGTTTTGAAAATAAATGAAGCAACTGAATTCAGACCACACACACTCATTGACTCCCTGCTGAGCTTATAGATTTGAAAGTGTGAAAAAGCGTTGGTTTTTTTTTGAACTCCCAAGAGAAAAGCAGTTTATCCAAGATGTTATTTTAATGGCAAAGTTTTTCACGGCTCAGAATGGGGTGCTATCAAAAGTCAACAGAACTGGAAAAATACCAGTAAATCTTGCTTGGCCAGAAGAAGAAAATCATGGGTTTAGGGGCCCTCACACAGCCTGGTGGGATTGCAGGCTCCTTACCGATTATTAACCTGCTGGCTCCTGCTCCCAGGGGCCACCCCAGTTCCAAGGCATGCGAGGAGCACGGCCTGCTCTTACGATACGGTAGTGAGGTGAAGGCAGAGGGAACAGAGCCCTCAAATCTCACTGCCACCTTCACTTGGGGCTTGGGCTTGGGTTTGAGTTTTTCTTCTAGCCATTTCCATAGTTTGACTTACTAGGGAATAAAATAAGAAAACGCCGACGCCTGCTACCGTTCCTTACGCCCTCAGTCCTCATCTCAGATTTCTTGGGTGCTTTTAGCATGAGGCTGTTCCTCCCAGTTGGGTTCTCTTAACCGCCTTTTTCACTTCTTAGCTGCATTACTGTGCATGGCCCCTGACACTTAGCCCCCGGAGCCTCAGTTTGATCCTCAATGACAGGGGATAAGATTGGTGTTTGCCTCTCCTGGCGCACAGAGCGCCTAACACTCAGCATCAGGGGCTCTCCCAATTTCTATTCCTCTTGAACAGCCCTTCCCTTCCTCAGAGTGCCCAGAAAGAACAGGAACTTCGGAAGGAAATGCAGAACCGTCGGAGCCATGAACTTTCAGGAAGGGGGACTGAAAACCTCTCCCAAGGGGGAGGGAGAACTTGCCCCCGCCCCCGGTCTAGGTTGCTGGGGAACTTCCACCACTGCAGTGTCATCGGCTCCAGCCAGATGGAGCCATGGAGCAACAGGAAGTCAGGGCAGCCTCATAACAGGTTCAGTGAGAGGGGCCTGCACCATTCCAACGGGTGTCCTCTGTGCCCTCAGGGGGCTGGCATGACAGCACAGGACCCCGGGGCCCTAGCTCGTTCAGAAGGGGCTTGTGCAGCTGGGAGGCCATGCACACTCCAGGGCTCACTCCTGCTGCTCCCCAGCCCTGACCTTCTGAGGAGGACGAGGGGTTTGGTGCGGGACAGAGTGAGTGAAACCCAGAGGTCTCATCTTGGTAGATCCATATTCAGCAATGGGAAGTATGTCTTCTGTCCATGCCCTAAAGGTAGTGGGGGGGGGTGTTCTGCCTCAAACAGGGATGGCTTGGGACCTGCAAGAGGGAAGAAAGAGGTTGGTGAGTGGACCCAGTTGTGGAGAAGTAGGGGTAGTGCGAACAAAGGGAAAAGACAGGGACTGAACATACATGGACCTTTGATGTAGTACTCTGCCTGCTTCACTCAATGCTTTCCGCCCATCTTTTCTAGCAGCAGTGTCCTTGTTAAACGGATGTTCAGGCCCTTGGAAGAGGAGTTTGGCCCAACGCCTTCCAAGCAGATGAAAGAAGAAGGGATGAAGCGAGGTATCTCTCCCACTGGGGCGCTCCGCTGGCATTGCCAAAGTGACCTGTCCTCCCATCATGAGTGGGAGGGGGTGTTTGACTAAGAAAAACACACAGCCCAGCCCACACCCCTGTGGTTCAGGGCTGGCCTGGGGATATTTTATGGGCACAGGCAGTTCACAGTCTTCTCCTTTGCTTTAAACCCTGTCTTTTAAAACACTGTAAGCAAATGTTTATTCTTTCTGAGCACTGGTTCTTTCCTTTCCCTTGGGAGAAATGTAATGAATATGTTGACTCATCCAGCAGTGAGATATAAGGTTAAGGAGAAACTCTTGTTGTGTATGTGACAATAACATAAGCACCAGCAATGAGAACTGTTCAATAGATGCACATGATTAATCTCATACAAATAAATAAACTTCTTTTCTGCCACATCACCATTTACTCATTTTCTCTCACGTCAAGGGTCTTACTCAGCTTCCCCAAAAGAGGAACCAACTAAGCGCAAGCAAGTCAATTTCTTGCTCACTATTTGATGCTATTCACAAGTCACTATCCTTCCTCAGAATAAGAGGAAAATGGGGGGGGGGGCATTTCTCTCCATGTCTTCTGTAGCTAACACCAAAGCTTCCGGAGACCTTTGATTTATGTAGTACTGGACTTATAATGAGTCAGATTCACCATGTTAACTATATTCACCACCTACACGGCCTTGAGTTTTTTGTTACTGAGAAATTTTATTTATTTTTTCCTATTTATTTAAATGGTATTTCCATAACAATCAAGAGCCTGCCCTCTGGAGCCTCACCACCCCCCTCCACCATGGAGAGTTTGTATGACCTTAGGAAGGTCGTCTACTCCTTAAGAGTCCTCATTAGGAAAATTGGGGGGACAAGAGTACCTACTTCATAGAATTGCTGTGAGGACTGATGAGCGGATGTATATAAAACACTTACCTCAAGTGTCTGATACACAGGAAGCACTTGTGTTGGCTATTATAACTATCAGTTGTCTGATTAGGCCTGGATCTACCTGAGGTATATTATCATAATTGTGAATAATAATTAGTGTTTCAGAATGGAAAGAGCATGCATGTCTGGAGAGTGGTAGTTACATCAGCAACAGTGCAGCCTTTAAAAGATTTTCTGATGTCACGTTCTCACCATCAACTACCTGAGTGCATTCTTGAGCTTCAATCCTGCCTGCCTTTTGTATCTTGTACTTTAGAATGAGGGCAGAGCTATAGGGAAATCAAAGAATCACATAGGCAAAATTCCTTGTAACTTGCATCCCTATTTAGAGCATGTGGACTAGTCCAAAGTTAGTGTTTTTCAGATTCTTTTGAGATTGTGAAGTCAGGACAAAAATTGCCACAGAGAATCGTGTTGGGCTGTGTGGAAAAGCAAGAATCTGGCCTTGGAAACACCTAAATCACAGCGACACATGAGGGCGCTGCAACCTACCTGCAACGGAGAAAATGTTCTGCCAGAAATAGCTTTCCTTTGGAAAGGACTGTGCTTTTACTAAGCCCCTCGCCCAGAACCCCTCCGTCTGAGCCGGTATCTTTGACAAGCACTAGGAAGTCAGCCTCAGTGCCGGTTCCTTTTGTTGATTTCTTAGAAGTTCTCCAGGAGAGAAAATGAGCATAATGATCACCAATGCCATTATTTGTTGCTTTGCCTTTCTAGCCCCTTCTCTGGGTGGCTTTGATTGGAGTCATTGGGGGCTGCCCCCCGGGGTGGCTGCCTTTGTCCCTTTCCTGGGATGGGCAGCGGTTGCTATTGCTGTCGGCAGCAGTGGGTCCAGGAGCTGCCGAGGAGGAGTCACAGTTTCGTGAAAGCTGACTCCCTGGGCACCCTGTGGGGTGTGCTGTGGCTGCCAACATGCCCAGCAGGAGAAGTCTGTCAACAAGCCACCATGCCATCTTTAACCCTTTCTGAAGCCATGTTATTTCAAAGGCAATAATTTTAAAAGAAGATTTGTGAATCCAGGGGAAGCAGTACTCATCTTAATAGAACATAGTTTGGGGTTTCCTTAGGCTCAGACTGCCTAAGGAAATTAGATATTTCTGCTGAGGGCTGTGGGAAGAAGTTACAGAATAATCATCTGTAGGAGACTAGGAGCCACTCGTTGGAGATTTTATTGGGTTTTCTGTTTGTTTGTTTTGATATTTATTTATTTAGTTAGTTTTACCTTCTCATCTAGTGATAATTGAGGTCCTGTGGTCTAATTGTACCTCTAACACTGAGTCCTCTTATAATACCATTAGGTGACTAGACCATTTTAGCTGAAATGGAACCTATAAAATATTCTTTCTAAAGGACTAAATTTGGAACTTTTTGGAGATGCACTTGATCTATTTATTTAATTGGTATTTTGTTTTTATTCTGGATAAAGAGAAGAAACTGCAGTACTTAAGGTATTTTGTTTTGTTTTGCTTTTGTCATATACAAACTGAACATCTGCTGGCCGCAGAGAAGAAATGCAGACAGAACCCTTGTGCACCCATGTAGACTTTGCTCTTATAAAGCAGCAGTGTTAATGAACTCCTTGGGGACTGGGGAGGAGGGGGAGAAGATGTGGGAGTTCAGATTAGAGCTGATTTCATGTCCTGGCTCCGACCTCGTTCCTTCGGGTTGGTGGGGACTGTAGCTCAGCTGGTATCCGACCGTAGTCAGGATCCCAGCTCCGCGAGGCTGTTTGGCCAGCATGTGCTTCTGCAGTGGCCAGCTGCCCCGGGGTGCAGCCCTGGTCCCCCTCCTTCTCTCTGAAGGAAGAACTACAAGCCATGTCACTGGGAGTGAGGAAGGGCAGTCAGCTTCCTGGGGCTGCAGGGTCGCATCTGAATGGCAGTTCCCAGTCCTGTCTGAGAGCTCAGCCCCCATGCAGAAGCTGTAAGAAACAGTGAGCATTGTGGGAGTGTCCTCACCTCTCTAATGACACATGGGGACCCTATCTCTCATCCTCTGTGCATTGTCAAATTCAGAATGTTTTGTTACAGAGAAATGAACAGAAAGCTGCATTCACACTCACTCAGGGCACTAGAGCCATGACAATTGCTTCCTAATAGAGCATTCGCCATTTGAGGAAGGGGCGCTGGCTGTGTGCGCAGCTCTCTGCTAAGCATCCCGCATGGAGGTTATTTCATTTAACCCTCACAGCAGTCTTATGAGGTAGATATTATTATCCCTGCTTTACACAGAAAAGCAAAGCTTAGAGGTGCTAAATGACCAGGGCAGGCTGAACTGGGGTCAAAGCCAGACCAGTCATACTCTTAGCAACTTGCCCCTGAAATGTACCGCCTCCCTCCTTCCCTCCCGGACCTTGGCCAGGTCATTCTGTCTGCTGGAGTTTGCTCTTCTCACCCCCTCTCTCCCCACCTCCCTCGCCTTTGCTTGGGGCCTATACACCCTTCATAAGTCAGATCTCTCCTTCAAGGTAACCTCTGGGAGCCTCACTCCCTCACCGCCCCCAAAAAACTCAGGCCCCAGTAAGCACTTTCTCCTGTCTTTTTCCTTCATAGCTCTTAAAACTCTATCTGGGTCTCTGCTTATGTGAGGACTGCCTACCTTTCTAAGTGGACTACAGCCTTAATGGCAGGCTGCGTCTTTACTCATTGCTGCAACCTCAGCTCCTAGCTCACAGCCTGGGACTTAGGGGCCCAGATGGGAATTCAGTAATGTTTGTCAAATGATCAAATAGATATGTTGAAGACAGAAGTCACAGAAAGAGGTGTCCTAAAGAGATCGTGTATCCACCTTTAGAAATTCGAATGTGAACAACGTGTAAAAGAATCTTCCAGATGTTAGGTGTTGTTACCCAGTTGTCAGTTCATGCCATCAAATTGCTCCTTAACAGTCCCTAACCGCAGGTTCTCTAGGGAAGTGCCTCATCGCCCTTGTAGGATGTCGATGTCATCTGGGTCAGGGGTCTGAGGTTTATTGGCAGCTTACATCAGTGTCCGACGCCTGTGTGACAGGAGGCAGTCTCCTGTGGCAGCTGCGGGGCTTGCGTGGGCTCCTCAGTCACCGCTTTCCTCCCCCTTCTCTTTCAGTGCTTTTGTACGTGAGGAAGGAGACTGACGACGTGTTCGATGCCTTGATGTTGAAATCGCCCACAGTGAAGGGCCTGATGGAGGCGGTAAGCCCTGCGCTTTCTCCTGAGCTGGGATCCATTCATTAAAATGCAGCCTTTGAGATGGCTCTGGAATGGCTTTGCAAAAAGAAAAAGGAGAGATTTATGGAGACACTGATTTCCTTGCTGTCAGGGCTTATTAGCATCTTAAAGGGAAGGAACCTTTGAAAAACTGCCAATTCCCTGTCAGTTTCAGGCTAATCAGAGTAAGATGCCATAGAGAAAGGTTAATTCGTGAGTTTTTCTCTCTCTTTCTTTTTTTAACTGTGAGTTTCCATTTGTCTCTTTGCATTAAACCAAACTAGGTATGTTTAACTTCCCAATATGCACAGAACAAAAACAATTAGGAAGTGTCTTGCTAGCTGTGATAATGTAATCCAACATAGAAATATGACCTGTTTTGGTTAAGAAGAAAAACATATTATAGAATTCTGAAGAAAAATTCTAAGGTTCTTCTTCCCTTTTCATTCCCAGCTTAGTCAACCATTACCCTACCCAGGCTCAGAAAAAGTTATTTTATATTTTATCCATATATATATATATGAATATGGCTTTAATATGACTCAACTTTGAATATGACTTCTAACTCCTTGTCACTTTTATTTTTTTCTGTACAACTGTGTTGTAGAAGATTCAGTGTTTGTTTTGTTTTTTTAAAATAGTGATTGAGACAATAGGACTACTAAGGGACAGTCCAGATCATTTTTGGTTGGAAAAATGGCTACGTTGGGAAGAATATTTTTTGGGTTATGGGGTGAAATGTTAAAATGTATAGGATAGCGCCTATACGTGGAATCATACAATATGTGGTCTCTTGTAACTGGTTTATTTCAGCCACAGTTCTCAGCATGTTTTTGATGTTTACCATGTTATAGTATAACCAGTTCTTCATTCTTCTTTATGGCTGAATAATATTCTATTGTGTAAGCAGACTACATTTTGGTTTTCCATTCATCAGTTAATAGACATTTGGATTTTTCCACCCTCCAGTTATTGTGAATAGTACTGCTATGAACTATGAATTTGTACTATGAAATATAAGTCTTTGAACACATTTTTAGTTCTTTTGTGTGTATAGCAATGAATGGAATGTCTAGCCAGACAAAAAAGGTCACATATTACATGATTCAATTTATGGGAAATATCAAGAATAGGCAAATCCACAGAAATAGAAAGCAGGGTGAAAGGGTAATAAGAAGTGGCTACTCAGTGAGCTCGGTGAAGGGCTGATAAGAAGCAGCTGTTCACTGAGTCTCCTTTTGGGGCGATGAAAAGTTCTGGAACTAGAAAGTGCTGATGGTTGCATGGTTGCACAGCATTATGAATGTACTAAATGCCACTGAATTGTAGACTTTAAAATGGTAAACATGGCAAATTGTATGATGTGTAAAAAAATTTCTTCTGCTGCTCATCTGAGTTTGGTTTTTTCTTTAAATGCAGAGCAGGATCACCAATGCAGATTTCACATTGTCCCCCCCTCCCCAGCACCCGCTGCCCACCGCACCCCCCCCCCCCGGCCCCCCGTGGTTGACATAGTTAACAATTCCCCAGGCACTGCTGAGAAGGGGCCACCCTCTGAGAAACATTGCTGGAGGGCGTGGTAATCTTTCCTACTCTACAGGATTCAGCAGCAGAAGGGAGTTCATTGTTACTGAATCTGCTACGCTTGAAGGAAAAACAAAATAGAAATGAACACAACAAAAATATGATCTATATCTCTTCAAATAAACCAGGATTTTAAAAATGACCCTAAAATTGCCCGAGGTAAACTTATGAGCTAGAGAAGCTTAGAAAATATTCAGATCTCTCTGCGGTCCTTTGGACAAATTTCATAACCCCAACCTGGCCTCTAAGATCATATTGCTGAAAGTGACTCACCTAGGATAGTGGAGAATTTGAACTAAGCAGTTGTTTTAAATGCATATTCCCAGACTTCAACTCCAGATCTGATTCTACTAAATTGGAGGTGGAATGGTGGTGGCGGACCAAGAATCCATATTTTTAACAAGCCCCCAGGTATTCAGAGGTCAGGCATGAGAAACACTGATCTGGACCAATTCTGAACTGATTCACTAAGCCATAACTCATGACCCCTTTTCCTTGTATCTTCCTTTCCCTTCCTCAACATGCGGCCAGTTCTACAAGTGTTCTGTAGCTGTGGTCTCGCTGGACCTCTGTGAGGTTAAATATCACCTTAACTCCCACCCAAACCGCCACAAGTAACACCTGCCTTCACTCCCCACCGCAGAGGAGTCAGCTCTTGATCCGTCTTATGGGAGCTCATTACATCTTCCTTGCTCTGCTTAGCTGGGGCAGGGTAGGCGGTGGGGAGAGACACTCACAGTATCTGCCAACCTTGTAAGCCATGGACAGATCAGGTTCCCAGGCTCATTCTGGTCAGATTTCTTACAGCAATTCTGACTTCATCTCACCTTTGTTAAACCTGGAAAGAAAACGTTTTATTCAAGGACCAACACAAACTGTCTCCTGCAAGTGGGAAAGCAGGGCCGGAGAAGCTCCTTCAGGATCCTCAGGTGACGTGGTCTCGTGGTGACCTCTGAAGGGGCACTGCTGGCAGCCCTAGCAGTTTGGGGGAGACTATGAAGGACGACAGGTCCTGTTTAATACAGACTGTGAAGTGAGAAGGCAAAATTTTGAAGACCCCTGGATCCTGCTCACCATAGTTACGCCCTGATTTTATTTAGGGGCCCAGGTAGGGTCAGAAAGTGCTCTCTCTGGACTGTGGGTTCTCTGAGGAGCAGCGCCTCAGTAGCATGTGACATTTTACCATCCTGACACTTATACACGTAGAGACAGCATGGTCTAGTGAGTCAGCGTACGGGGTTAGGACTCAGAAACCCATAATGGTTTCTTGATGGTGATTCCCACTAGCTAGGCAAGCTTCTTAACCTCGTCTTCATCCTGAAAATGAGAATGTTAGTAGTACCCACCTCACAGGGTTGTTGTGGGTCAAAACAAGACAGTACAGATGTAAAACTCTCCCCAATTCCTAAGTCCCTTGTAAAGGTTAGCTTTTGTTTCTAAACCATTGTTTTGAGGAGGAATCAGAGCTAGAAAAGTCACAGAGTCAACATTTCTTCCTTTTCCTCAGACCTTGGATTTCTCAAATAATCCAAAAGATGGAAAGTTACTTTTGTTCATGATTCCGTTACGTAGTTTTCCACTAATTGGGCACCTCAGAGGAGGTCTGGAGCTGCGGGCCCGTAACCATGTTGGAAACTCTGCAGTGTGTATGGAGAGCTCCTCTCCAGAGTCCAGAGACAGAAAACCACTCCCAAGAAATGATCTTTACACTCCACAGTCCAAGGCCCCACATTAAACAAAGCTTCACAACAAGAAGGCAATGTACTCTAACCTCCACGCTTTGTCATTACTCTTAATTTTAAAACAATATCGTCGCATATGGGGTTTTATATTCTTTAGCAACTAGGGATTTAAAAATCCCTAACTTTTAAAGAAATCTGTTTAATCCAGGAATATTATACTTGACTTCAAGCTGTCACTTTGAATCCTGTCGCTGGTTGCAAATGACTTCCTGTAAAGACACAATACCCCACTCACTGTGGACCCAGCCTGTGCTGTGGGCCTAGGGTATTGCTTCTCTATGTGGGAGACTCCACTGGAATCTTCTAGTATATTTTCAATGGTGCCACCCCAGAACCATGCACCTGACCTTCAAATCATGCTTTCTAGGGGCGGACCCAGGTGCCAGCATTGGAAACAAACTCCCTGGTTGACCTTGAACTACTCTAACATTTAGGAGCCACTGCCTGGTGGGAGCCCTGGCTGGAAATTCCTGTTAGGTGTAGGGGTGTCCAACATTTTGGCGTCTCTGTGCCGCACTGGAAGAGTAAGAGTTGCCTGGGGCCACACATTCAATACATTGCGACATGTAATCACACACAAAAAAATCTCATAGTGTTTTAAGTAAATCTATGATTTTGTTTTGGGCCGCATTCACAGCCATCCTGGGCTGCATGTGGCCTGAGGGCTGGAGGTTGCACACACCTGTTAGGGTCTGATTCTGTACAAAGGCCCAAAGTGCATATTCACTCATAATGGGAATAACCTCACTCATTACACTCTTTTGGGGCCAAAATTCCTGCAAAAGGAGTTCTGAGCAGGGGAGTGGTCCTGTGGCCCATTCCGTGTGCACCGCCCCACTCCTGTGGGCTGGGGAATTGGCCTGGGTTTAGGCTGTGTCCCTCACCTTTCATCAGTGGTGTGGGAAGACCAAATATTTTCTCCACCGAGGAGGGTACTCATAGCCTCCCAGGGACGGCAGACCTCACAACTCCGATGTAAAACTGCCTGTGTAAAGTACGCGTGTGTGTGCCTTACAGTCGTTTTAAAAATAGGAACATCTGCTTCATATCGGTATTCACAGTGCTCTATTCCCTTCCTGAACTAGCTCTGGAAGGGTGTTGTGCCTCCACTTCCTCTCTGTCAAATGGAGTCCTCAAGGGCATTAATGAGTTAACACGAGCACGCAGTACAGATTGGCAGAGGCGGGGACAGTGATGGCGCTGTGATGCGGCCCGTCCTTCCGCAGCAGGATGATTGGGACCGCGTTCCAAGGGAGAACCAGCTCTCATTTCTCCTGTTAAACTCCGAACTCCCTCTTCTCAGTTTGGGATTATTTAGATGGAAAAGAAAGTATACTGGAGGATAAGAAACCAAAAGTGTTTGTCTTTTTTTCCTTGTTTAAAAAAATTATTATTGGCAATTGGTGGTGGCATGTTGACTTGCCATGCAAACAGAAGAGAATGGTCCTGCCACCTTTCCTTCAGATGGGAACTGAGGTCTGAGTCAGAAAGCGCTACACTGGGCAGATGCCTTGAACAGTTTGTAGATGGTGACAGTGTTCCGACAGCCTGCACCGATTTTCTTAAGTTTGGAAATCAGGACACTTAGTAGGATGGAACAATTGTGTTATCTAGAAATTGGATGGCTTTTACACTCAGCAAACATTATGCTTTCCTTTGAGGTAACATTACTGAGTTGGCCCTAATTAGAAAAGTCTCCTATAAGACCAAGGGCACAGATCCCACCGTAAGCACATGCGCCAAAGCATGTAGGAGAAACTGGATTGGGGAACTTGATTGACTTGGGCTCAAATCATAACTCTGTAGTCCTGAGCAGGTCAGTCTTAGAACCTTTGGTTTCCTTGCAAAATGTGGGACATGCTTACCTTGAAGAATAGTAATATTTATATTGTATTTGACCTCTCATTGTCTTCAAAAGAATGCTTGACCACAACAAAGAAAAATGGAATTATTGTTTATCTATGTCAAACTGGGTCACTTTTCTACAGAACAGACTAGATAATTCTTCTTATTTACTGGTCCTGAACCTCCCAGACCTTCATTTCACATGCCAGGAGATCATTGTTCATGCAGATCTAGACACCTGGATAGGAAAATAAAGAAGCTCTCTGTCAGCCAGAGGTCACTGAATAGTCCTGCCCTTGGTGTCATTTGGATAAACTAGAACATTTCTCTTTTCATCTGCGTGTTTAGTATTGTTAATCAAGCCATCCATGTCATTGTAATGATTTACTTTGGCTTCTTTATTCTTATATATAATTAAGTTTTAAACTTGATTGCAGACAAAGATTTGGTGATGATGATGGTGGCAGTGGAGGTAACATGAATTTTCAAATTTTTTCTTTTTTAGGGGGTTGCATTTCTGAGTGAGTTTACCTGGTAATCCTACACATAAAGAATCTTCGGGCGCTGCTGGGTCCTTGCTAGTCCTTGAGCCCACCAAGGTTACCCATCTTTCAGGGCCTCTGCATGTGTTGTCCCTTCTTTCCCAAGCGCCCCTCCTCTAGGTCTACGCGCACACTCTCCCACGCGTGTCTGTTTCTCGGATGGGCCTTCCTGCACCACCTACATAGAGAACATCTCTATTATTCCCTTACCCTGCTTTGTTTTACATCACAGCATTTGTCACCAGCGGACATAGTTAACATTTGGTAAATGTTTATTGTTTCTCATTGCCCCCAAATAATGTGAAGTTCAGCAGCACAGGGGCATTTTCTCTTGTTTTCTGTGTATCCCAGGTCCTTGCGCGTAAATAAACCGCCTTGAGCATCTAGGTATCACCACGCTGAGTGCTGTGGCACAATTGCACACGCACCACTTCATTGGATTCTCATAATATCCCTGCGGACCTGACATGGTAAATATCACCACCATGTGACAGATCTGGAGACCGAGGCCCATGGAGCAAGTTTCTCAGGGTGGTGGAGCCAACTTAAGCCCTCAAGCAACTTAAATCCAGTTAGGGAGATGTCCAACACATGAAGAGTCATTATCAGGAGGATATTAACCTTGGAGGATAACATTCCAAGTCATTGCTCACAACTAAAGGAAAGAAGCTTCGGAAATAATGTGCTATCAGGCAAGAGGTAGTACATGTAGTAGTCGGTCCCACACAGAGTTCAAACCCTGGCTCTGACACTTAAGAGTGATGTGACCTTGAGCAAGTTACTCGACCTCTCTATACCCCAGTTATATCATTTTTTGAAGTGAGAATAATAATAATATGGAATATTATTAAGAGAATAATGATAAGATGAAAAATTGGATTGTGAAGATTCAATGAGTGCATGTAAGGTACTTAAAGTACCAGACAGAAATGCTTTATGAAAGACTATATAGACACATATGTAAATGTAATGACTAAATGCTATAGGATGGGGAGAAAGACTGAGATTCCTCTGAGCCAAAAGGGCCGGGGAAGGAGGCTCCTCTGGATTTCATTCCTGGCGAAGCCAGCTGACGCGCCCGGGAAAAAGGGTTGCCGACGCGCTCAGTAGGCACCCTCTTCTGTCCAGTTGAGTCACTCAGGCAGGGAAAGGAAGGCTGTGTTCCCTGACTCTCTTGACAGGTCTGTTTGCAAGCAAGAGTCCCTTCTTTTTAAACGTACATCTTAGAGCCCACACTGAACAATTTCTAAATCCCATGAAAAGTCATTGGCTTCCAGAGCAGGCTGTTCGGCTGGAGGCCTCTAGACAAGCAGACTGAGTCCGCCACTGGTAAAAAACCAAAAGAAATTGCTAAGTTCTACCTGTCATATATCTGAGGTCTCTGGGCAAACAGAACTCTCCACCAAGTTGGTGTCTACATATTATAGATCATCAGAGAACCAATGACATGTTGATGAGATATGTCCAAGACCTAGGATCCTCTTAGATGTCAAGGAAGTCTTTTAGAATATTAAAAATGGGTTTTAAAAAAATTATCAGTATATGCCCATTTTAGATGACTTGAAAAGCAAAAGACAAAAAAACAAAAAAACAAAACAAAAAGCAAACCAAAAAATTCCCCTACAACCCAAGCACTGTGAATCCCCCTCATTCTGAGAGAACTACAGTGTAGCACGTGCTTTCCGTGCATAGGAGAGAGGGTTGTATGGTGATATCATCCAGCTCTCGGGCAGGAGGGATCCTGTAACCCCCTGACAGATGGCCAGCTTCCTCCCGTGAAACCCTGCGCAGTCTCGCTTCTTTCCAGGGTTCTGAATTTCGCAAAACACACTTCCTCGCCTTGCACGGAGGCAGAGAACACCATGTCAGTGTGGCATATTATCGAGCTGCCTTTGCCTGTGATGCAGACACTGAGGATAGGACTCTGCCCTCCTAGACATTCTTTGTATCCTAGGCAGGGTTGGTGCACATGTGTCAATGTTGCTGGCTGCTGCTTGGGATTGGATGGGGTCCAGGGGCCCCACTCCAAACATTCTCAACCTATGCCATTTTCTCTAAGAGTTCAGAATCGGAAACCAGACTGCTACTGGTACCAGGTTGTTTCCTTTCAAATCCTGTCACTGCACCTTACTAGCTGAGGGACCCTGGGCAAGTTACTTAATACCTGTAAGCCTGAGTTTCCTCACCTGAGAAACGGCTCATACAAGTGCCTCTTCCATTGTATCGCATTGAGCAAGTCAAAAGATGCAGCGCTCTATGTGCCTGTCTGCTAGGCACCTAAGAGGCAATCAGTAAACGCTAGCTGCTGTGGCTATTCCCGGCAGGCCCAAGTCGAAACTGGAATTGTGCAGGATCAGTGAGAGTCTCCTAATTCTGACTATTAATCAATTGATTTGTGAGGCGAGGTGTACGTGCTTAATGGAAGTTTGTTGAACATAGTTCCTGTATTATCAACAGTGATCCTTTGAGGAGCTTTGCCTACAGTGAGTGTATTTCTATAGACCAGGCAACTAGATATGGGATATGTGGGCCCATGGATATAAGCATTTTTAATTGCAACAACTAATGCCAAATTGCTCTCCAAAAAGGTTGAGCTTGTTGTTCTCTCATCTATGGAACATAAGGGTTGCTGACACTGTATTATCAGTATTTTAGTTTTTGTTAGTTTGATTGATTAAAAGCAGTATCTTTTTTTAAAGATTTTATTTATTTTCAGAGAGAGGAGAAGGGAGGGAGAAAGAGAGGGAAAGAAACATCGATGTGTGAGAGAAACATTAAATGGTGGCCTCTTGCTCGCCCACTGCTGGGGACCGGGCCCGCGACCCAGGCATGTGCCCTGACAGGGAATCCAACCAGCAATCTTTTGGTTTGCAGGCCAGTGCTCAATCCACTGAGCCACATCAGCCAGGGCTAAAAGTAGTATCTTATTGCTTTAATGTGTGCTTTTAAATTATGTGTGAGGCAGTACATTTCTTTTTCATATCCCTATTGCCTTTTTTCTGCAAATTACTTCATGTTGTTGTTTTTCCTTTTCCCCTTGAATTATTAGGCATTTTTTGTTTTTGTTTTCATTTTGATTTGCACGGGTTCTTCCTAACTTATGGAAATTAGTTCCATGTCTGTCATTCATGCTGCAAAAATATTTGCCAGTATATGAATCAGCCTCAGATTTTCATGGTGGTTTTTGTTAAACTGGTACTTTTAATTCTATGTTGTTTTATCAACCTTTGATTTTTTTTTCTTCAGGTTTTATATCTTGCTTGGAAAGATCTTCCTTACTTGAAGAAGATATCTATACAAAGCACTGACTCATGAGTTTCTTCCTGTATGGTTTCATCTTTCACATGTAAATCTTTGATGTGATTTATTTTGATGTAGGAGTGGAGAATAGATCCAGCTTCACTTGTTAATTTTTTTCTATATGGCTACCTATTCAATCCACAACATCATAATATAAGGGTCCACCTTTTTCTGACTGCTCTGAAATGACACCTTCATTATAGATTAAATTCCCATGTGGCTGAATCTTTACTGAACAGATTAAGGTTTGTCCAAAGGGAGAGCCCTGTCAATGAGGCCCTTTGAGAGTTTGGATCATGAGTGAGGACACTGCCTCCCCAGAAAATCTCCAAGAGAATGAAATTGGAACTTCCTCTCTCGCTCCTGCGTGGACTCCCCTTCTGTGCTCACCTGCCTTTTTGTTATTGGTGTTACAGATATCCGAGAAATACGGGCTGCCTGTGGAGAAGATAGCAAAGCTTTACAAGAAAAGCAAAAAAGGGTAAGAAAGAAACTGAACTTAAGTTAACTTTCAAATCAGATAGGTCAACACAGGACCTTAAAAAAAAAGATGGTACTTTCACTAGTTCCATTGTCCACATTTTATAAAATTGTGTGTCATCCTTTCCAGTGAACAGCCTACAAATGCAATGCATTTTGAGGACCTTTCATGAGAAGGGGAGGGAGGGTGATAGTGTATTGTCATGAGGTCAGCAGAGACACCCTATTCCAGTTACAGGATTAAAGGGTAGAATAGAGGGTTCTAGAAGTGGGGAGAGTGGCAGAGTCACCCTTCTGTAAGAGAGTGGAGTTTATAGGAAATCCCATGCTGGTCTCGGGGTTGGCTTCAGGGCTGCACAGTAGGAATAAAAAAGAATTCATTCTGCCAAGGTAATTATTAACAAAATGATCTAAATGATCCTTGTACCTGCTTGCTCTCAGCGTTATGCTGCATTTATTGGGTGTTCAGTAGGTTCTGGGTCCCCTGCCAAGTGCTCTACATGCATTGCTCTATTATTCATCACCACTCTATGAGGTAGATTCTATCCCTAATTTAGTGAAGAGGAAACGGAGCCAGATGGAGGTTAAGCACCTTGCCCAAGGTCTCATGTTCAATAAGTAGAACACAGATTTGAACCCAGCTCTTTGACCCCAGCACTCAAGTGCTTAGCTCCTCATTCTGCTCTCTGCTACCTCCAGTCTCCCTGGGGTTCCTCTGAGGCCCTAAGAGTAGAGACTGCAGGAGGCGGGCAGAGGGTGGGGGTCTGCTGCCAGAGGGCCACCATGAAGTCAGCCTAAGGGGCTATTTCCCTATGAAAAGCAGAAAATGGGCCTTTAATCTTTTCTCTGGGCCTCTTTCACAAAAAATCTGGATGATCTGGGTAGCCCAGGCTTTCTCAGTCATGGGGTCTCCTGCCTAATGGGGAGTCAAGCAAGAAACCCTTTCCATGTGAGCCCTTGTTGGAAAGCTCACTAAAATGCATTTTACAGTTCTTTTCAAGGTCAATGCCATAGTCTGGGTCATTCCCTGATTGTGAGAGGAGTGGTGTCGCAAGATCTTGCTGCTGAGCTGAGACCCACGGTGCCCAAGTCCATGCCGATGATAACGTTTCACTTTTCATTGAGCACGGTGTCAGGCCCTGAGCTAAATACTGTAATTTTAACAACAAGCCTTTAGAGAAGGGTTGTTATTCTTACTTTTGCAGAAGAATAAACTGAAGCCCTGAAAGTCTAAACACTTGCCTGATGACACATGGCTGTAAGATGATAGTCAGTTTTTCATTCTCAGAGGAAGATGTGTTTGACTTCAGTGGATGAGGTTGGCTCAAGGACTGCTAAATCATGGACAGACCCCAACAGTTGGTGATTTTCTTAAAACTCAATCCACCGCAGATAGTTAGCCGAGGAGGAGGTCACATGTGGTCGAGGATGAGCTTTAGAGTGAGGCACAATCCAACTGAACCATGAACTAGATGAATGAACTTGGGGAAATGATTTAACCTCGTTGAGCTCAGTTTTCTCATTTGCAAAAGAGTGCTGATCACACCTACCTGCAAGGTTGCTCTGGGGATGAAGGACAAGGACTCTGAAACACTGGAACACAGGACATGCTCAACAAAGGGTAGCAACAGTTCTGGTTTATTTTCCTCTTCCTCCTCAGTGTGAAATACTTTGTAAGATGCATTTTCAAGAGGAAATATGGTTTAATGAAAGTAGTTAGGGTACCTAACTGTTTGGGTCCTGGCTTTGTCAATATGTCAATAGCTATGTTGGTGAGTTCAGGCTCTGTGAACTCCCTGGGGCCTCAGTTTACCATCTATATCACGAGACAGTTGGGTTGAATGATGTCTGAAGTCCTATTTAATAAGGAATCATGAGGTTAGTTCTGAGAAATCCAGGCTTTGCTTTCCTCAAATTGGTTTCCGGGGAAAGACAATGTAATGAGGGTCTTCTTCGTTGCCTTGCATCCTCTCTCCTCCACCCCTCCTGGCCGCCCTTGCAAAAGAATGGCAGAGGGGACCCCCAGCCTGGAGTCTGTCCTTGCCCCAAGCACATTGTTCACGGCATCTTTATTTTCTACCCCCCACCCCACCCCTGGCAGCATCTTGGTGAACATGGACGACAACATCATTGAGCACTACTCAAACGAGGACACCTTCATCCTCAACATGGAGAGCATGGTGGAAGGCTTCAAGATCACACTCATGGAAATCTGAGCCCTGGTCTCGGTGCGCCCTCAGCAGGAGCCCTCAGGGCGCCCCTCCCTGGGAGAGGAGGGGCCCGGCCCCAGAACCTGCAGGCCCACCTCGCCCACCTCACAACTGCTGTTACACGACTGCGCCGGAGAGCAGGACGAGGCACCAAGCCCCACTCCTTGTCCGTGTGTCTGGCCCGTCCACCAGCTCCTGCTGTGCAGCGTAGGCCCGAGCCCCTCGGGAAGGGGCCCTGCGCCTGTCAGATCCTTATTTATTGACCACCTATTCCTGGAGCCCGGGGCCAGGCCCACCAGGACTCTGCAGGCCACTTCTGGCTCCCGATGGCACCCTCCAGAGCCCTCAAGGGCAACACCGCTAATCCATTCATCTCGAAGAACCCGAGAAGGTCTTGCCCCACCTGTCTCGCCTCCCCTCTTACCCCGAGTGGCTGGACACAATGAGCTGCTTCTGAGTGCAGGAGTCAAAGGCAGGGTAAGAGGTAGACCCTTCAGGTTGATCTGGGGAAGGTCATCTTGCTAGATACCCCCAGGGGTCCCCAGCAAGTGGCCATCAGGCCGTGTACAGGAAGACATTCAGCTACCATGTAATTAGTAAGTGACACAGAAGACCTGCCTGGCTATCTTGTACATAGTGTTTATAATATTGCAATAATATATTTTACCTGTGGTATGTGGGCATGTTTACTGCCGCTGGCCGAAGGGAGGCACATACCTGGAAACTCTGCTTTCTGTAAGAGGTTTCCGCCTCTTTGCTGTTCAGGAGACACGCTGGGCTAGGGAAGCAGCCTTCGGGGTGCAAGTGACTATGGTGGGTGCCAAGACAAAAGCCCCGATGGGCACGGCCTGGAGTTTGGCCCTGTCGGCAGAGGGAGCCCCGTGCTCTCTCCACGGGCGCAGCCCGCCCTGGAGCCCGCCGCCTTGATCTCATGGTGATGCGCTTTGTTTGAGTCTCCCTCTGAGCTGTCTTGTGGGAAAGGTCAGATTACCAGAGGCCCCGGCCCCTCCAGCTTTGGCGTTGGCACTGCCTGAGCTTTCTGGAGAGACTGAGCGGGTTGCTGCCGGGGCCCCGTCACTGGGGCCCGTCGCAGAACCCCTAGGCTATCATGAGGACCCTGGTCCCTGTGCGGTGCCTCGCGGTTTACAAGCACGTCCTTCATCTCAAGTGGCCCCCTTAAAAGCCCGGCTGCAGTTGTGAGTGGTGCCAACAGCTCAGGTCTGAATGGGCAGGCCGGGCGGCCTCCCAGGCCTCCGTGCTGGAGAGGGAGGGACCACTTCCTTCCGCTCCAGGCTGCTGCATTTGGGGGGAGGAGAGGAGGGCCAGTGTCCAAGAGCCCTGGATCTTCTGAAATCAGCCTCCAGAGGAGAACTCCACCTCCTGCTACAGGCCCTGAGAGATAAGGGGAGAATACACACTTCCCTAAACAACCACACAACCATGACCCGCCCCAGGCCGCTGTCCTCTTTGAGGGGATGGGTAGGCGGTCCAGGGGTTTGTGTTCATCCTTGTGGGTGGGAGCATCAACTTTTTGGTAGCAAGAGGCATCCCCCACCCAAGGTCCTAGATCTAGGACAGGCTTTTTTGCAAGGGTCCAGATTTGTTTGTAAAGCACTTTGATGTCTTACGAGGGGGCTCTCTCTCTAAAAGCTCCCTGCCCTCCTACCCCATCTGCCCTGGGGCCCAGAGCAGGACGGAAAGGGCTGCTTCCAACCCAGCTGTACTCTGAGGCTGCAGAGGATTTGAGTGGACTGAAGGGCCGGTGTCCTGCCTCGGAAGCCCTCTGGGAGGTCGTAAGGGCGCACCTGTCTATATGTCTTCTGGACAACTTACCCCTCCCTGTGGTGCCAAAGGTTTGTATCCCGGATTCAGCTCTGCCCTTGTCTGTCCCCTCTTCCACTCTGTGACTGCCATGCCCTGGACTAGCAGCTGGGACCCTCCTGGGTACTGATGGGGCTCTGTTCTAAGATGGACACATTCAGTGTTGGAAATACCTGATGTACTATGCACTTCCCATGCTCCTTGCCTTTGGGGTGTTTCCAAACATCACTGGCAGATGGAATGGCAAATACCTCTGGACTGGGGCATAGGACTTCAGGTTAGGGGAAAAGATAAAATAATTGGCAATCTGACACTGTTACCCACCCTTCTCTCCAGATTTTGTGAAAAAAAAAAATACTTGCTGGTCCTGCCCCAGGCAGAGGATGAATCAGAAATGCTTTTGCATTTGTTCCAGGCCCCTGAGCAGTGGGGGACCACTGCCAGGACAAAGAATGTGAGGTCAGTGCCACTAAAGGGTGGTTCAGAGTGTCACCTCCAAGTTAATCTGTCCCCCATGTTTACCACATCCCCTCGGCATTCTCAGAGTGCCCATGGCTTAGCTATGATGTGTTCTTCACCATGTATGTTAGCAGAGCTCTGATGAGGAAAATTTCCTGAGCAAAAACACTCCAGAAAGAAAGGAAAATTTGCCTCCTCTTCTTTTGTTGTCCCTTAATTTAATCACACGGAAATAAATAAGCTTAAAAAAAAATCCATGTAAAATGAGGAACATGTGAAACAAGGGTTTTTAAAAAAAAAAAAACAACCCAAATTGCTTAGACTTTATGGGTGTTTGGAAATTGAGACCAACAGAAAAATGTAATCAGATGTCATCTTGAATTGGATCCTAAAAGACTAAGGCACGTCCCATGCCACAAACTTAGGAAGCTTGAAATGAATCCAACATTTATTTTTCCTTCTTATTTAAAATCATGAAATGCAACAAAAACAGAGGGTTTGTGCCAAATTCTATGAACAGCCCTTTCTTAAAGACAAGCAAGGGAGATTGATAGACGGACAATTTGCTCTTGTGTTTAAAAGAAAAAAGGCAAATGTAACTTAATAGTTTTGTAAATGGGAGAGGGGGAATCTATAAACTACAAATACAGTTATTTTATTTTTTGTACATTTTTAAGAAGAAAAAATAAATATTCATAAAGTAAGAGTAAATGATAGTGTCTGGTATGTTCCATGAGGTGGCTGTTGGGTTCTTTGCATGACTGGGAAGAAAGCACTGTGTGAGCTGGGAAGACTCTAGGCTCCCCTTGGGCACCTTCAGGTCCTGGGCTTCGACACAGCGGGCATGTCCTCTGGCGCCTTTTTGTGTCCCACCGCAAGGTAAGGTGAGAAGGGGGCTGAAGAAAGCAAGAGTGACTTCAGTGTGACTCTGACAGGCCACCAGGTTGGTCATTATTGACCTGTTCCTCAGGGCGGAGAGTAGGTTCTGCCCTTCACTTGTAGCTTCCTCACTCCCAGATAACTCACCCCCACTTGAATTAGCACAGAATTTGCTGGTTCTGTACTTCATCTGCCCCAACCTCTAAAGAGAGGCCAAAACCACATGGCTGAAACTTCAAAGCCATCATGACAATCTCGTCCTGGAACCCACAGGCTTGCTAGTATCTGTCAGCTCAAATATAAACACCTCGCTTCACTATCCTGGTATTGATTGGTTTTTCCTCAGTGAACACCCACCCACTGAGCCACCCACATGCCTTCAGCTGTCATGATTATGTACCGAGAGTCTCTCAGTGCCAAACCAATGGCACTTCTCTGTTCTTCCACATCTTACTTTCTCTCTTTCTATCCATGTCCACAGCTTTCAAATCTTTGCTCAAAACTTGCCTTTGGAAAGCCTTCTCTGACTTCAACCCCAGTGGCATCCCAGCAGCCTCTGTGTCTGGGCCAGTGGGCAGGGCAGAGGAGGTTCGGGGAAGTGCTCATTGCGGTTTCTGGGGAGGCCATGGGATTAGAAATGGGCCGTGAGGCCTTTTTGCCATGATCCATGTCCTGTGGTCTAAGTAGGGGGTCTGAATCCATTTGCCACTGGCCTAAGTAGGTCCTGCTGGGGATACAGCTGGTGTCCACACCTTCCCCGAAGCAGTCCCTCCCTTGGCCCATGGCAGTCGCTGCCCTGCTGCTCCGTGAACTTGGCTCACCTTGTGTGCCACACCCTCTCCCGCCTCCCTGCACTGGGACCATGGTTGGGTAGAGAGGAGGACCACTTGTCAAGGCCACAGGGCCCAGGTCCACTTCTTGCCTTCCACTCTGTACCAATTCCGTTCAGTTACTGTGGACCAGGGGCCGTGCCCCATTCTGGGGACAGGTAGATGTGCGAGGCGATGACAGCCTGGCATCGTAAGCACACTAATAGAGGTTTACCCCCCGGGGGGTCGGATCTGTCACCCCCTCTGTCCTAAGGCATACAAACCCCCTAACCCTCAGCCTGTCACAATGTGATGGGAGGCCACCAAATGTGAACTTCACTTAGGGAAGGCTGCCAACTGCAGAGTCTGGGCCTTATGTTTCTGAAGGTCAGTAGCAACAGGGAAGGCGTGGTCATCAGTTCAGGGCCTCCAAGAAGCAGAAGCCAAGATGGGATTAGATATTCAGGAGATTTATGGGGGAATTCACAGGAAGGAGAAAAGGGAAAGGATCAGGAGGAGACGGCATGCAGAGCGGCCCCTGTGAAAGGAGAAAGGGAAGGAAGCTCGGGCAGAGCGAGCTCGGGCAGAGCGAGCCTCAGACCGCCTTTGCCAGGCCGAGAGAGTCCCTGAGCAAAGGTCGCTGAGAGGAGGAATCCCATCTGGGATGCTAATAACCCCAACTCGTACAGTGGCAGGGAGCAGCCTGGGAAGAGTGTGGCCGCAGAATGAACACAGCTGGCTACAAATGTTGCAGCTGGAGCCTGTCAATCAGTTGTACTGCCAGAACCAGTTTCTTGTAACAGAAGATCTGAATGGGCGCCTCTGTGGTTACCATAGCCAGCCCTTCCTAAAATGGTCCCTAATGGGCCCTGACCGGTGTGGCTCGGTGGGTTGGGCATGGTCCTGCAAAGCAAAAGGTTGCCTTTTGCATTCCCAGTAATTGCACATGCGTGGGTTGCAGGTTCGGTCCCCAGTTGGGGCATGTACAAGAGGCAACTGATAGATGTTTCTCTCTCACATCACATCAATGTTTCTCTTCCTCTCTTTCTCCCTCTTGTCCTTTCTCTCTAAAAATAAATAAATAAAATCTTTTTTAAAAATAAAAATGAAAGGTCTCTAACAGGGATTCATTGGGGCTCTACTTTTCTATTTTCTTTTTTTTTTTAAGATTAAAAAATTTTTTTAGAGAAAGGAGGAGGAGCAGGGAGAGAAACATCAATGTGTGAAAGATACACTGATTGGTTGCTTCTCACACGTCCCCAACCAGACCTGTGCCCTGACCAGGAATCAAACCAGTGACCTTTCAGTTTGCAGGATGATGCCCAACCCACTGAGCCACCCCGGTCAGGGCAGGGCTCTTCTTTTACATGCAAACATTCCCTGAGTGGGTTTCCTGGCCTACCACTTTAGCACAATACACCCTTTGTCTGAGGGGTCCTTCATCCCTACACTTCTCTGAGTTCTGCTAAATGGGTGCATAGGTATTCTGGAAACACAGTGCGGTGGAGGGGGAGGGACTCTGATCATCCAGAAGTAGCAAAAGAGAGGAAGGGGATGTTGAAAGGTCACTAAAGGCAAATGCCACCCACTTGTTCCCTCAGTAGCAAACACCTCTCTTGCACCACTCAAGAAAGAACTTGATTTCCCCTCTGCCATCAGACAGAGATGTAAGCTACTTCATAACCATTTTTAAGGTGCAGGACAGAACTTACCAGCTGAGCTGTGAGCCTGGTCTCCTACTTCTTTGCTAGTAACTCCTATCCACACCCTCCACCCCCAACACACACACACACACACACACACACACACACACACCCCCTCCAAGACTATAGTGCTTGGTATGGTGTTGGGCTAGCATCAAACACTTAGTGAAAGCCCAGTAAAGTGACTAAATACTGCTATTGGAAAGGTACATTTTGAGAGTCTGCCCATCTGTTTGCATGGGTGTGATATGCTGATGGCAGAACTGTGAGTACTTAATAGGGTCAGCAAGCTGAGCTGTCCAGAATTTTGAAGCAGTTTCACCATCTTTTCTAGAAAACTATTAAACTGCCATCCATTTCCTGGAATAGTGTGCAGAGAAGAAGTCATGATATAAGTTTCCTTGAGGCCCTGACCCCTCTCTGAGCTGCCCCAGGGAGCTAACTCTACACCGTGGAATGTTCACGGAGTGATTGTTGTTTGCAACCCCGGGCATGTCTGGGACCAGGCACTGGCACATTAATACCCAGTGCAGCAAGTGCCCAGGATCTATGTCAGCCTGGCACGTGGTTGGCATTCAATACTGAGAAACCTGTTTGAAATGAATATACGATTGGTTATACCCTTGACCTGGACTTCTTTTCACTCAGCAACAATCTTTCTATTTTAGGTGGATTTCACTGATACTCTACTGCCTTGGAAAATACAGGGCTCAATGTTCTTTCTCTTATTTCCTCCAGTCATGTTAAAAAACAGAAAGTTTCAGGAGAGTGCTGAGCATCTCCTGACGAAGACAGGAGAGGCAAACATGAAACATCTTTATTTCTTCCAAAGACAGTCCTTGTGACCTCCTTCCACTTGGCAGAGAGGATACTCCATCTCCTCCTCAGCTGATGTGCGCCCTCCATGCCTGGACGAGGCTGACTAGGCTGTGAGGGGACCCAGCTGAGTTCAGGTGTTGGGACGGTACCCTGGAAATAAGGGCCTTGGGCTTGGGAACTCGCTGTAAATGATCAGGCTGGCCTCCAGTAAGTGTGCGACTGCAGACTCCTAATGGGGTGGCGGCTCCCAAGCACCTTCTCACCATCACTGCCACGAGTAACACGCAGTTATTCAGGCTCAGTACTCGTGGCCGTCAGGGTCATTGCTGGGCCACAAAGAGAAGCTGTATAAAGTAGAAAAAGTCTCTGCTCCAGGCCAACTCAACTCCTACATCTAGTTGGCCCATGAGACTTCTACCGTAGCTGACACTCCGCCCTCTTTTTCCCACACGAATGGCCTCCTGTGCTGGAGGCAGGGCCCATGACAGCAACAAAAGCCAAACACACAGTGGATCTGTCTTGGCTTTGAAGGTGTGGGTTCTGCATCGCGTCATCTTTTCTACTGACTCTTCTCCAGACTGAGGTGCAAAGGGAAGGGAGAGGGGGATGTTAATGTCCCACTGAAGAGGAGGTTGCCTCAGTTTCTCATTCCACTGCACCTAACGTTAGAAGTAGAAGTTTGCAGCTGCAGTTGCGAGGAAGGAGAGGAGGTGAGAAGAAAGCAAAGGCCATGAGGGAAGGACGTAAGGAAGCCCAAGTGCAGGCCAAGAATGCTTTTGGACGAGGCTTGGGGCTCAGCAGGCTCTCCCATCGCCCCTTTCACAAACCCTGGTTCCCTGTGTCTCTCCAGAGTAGGAAACATACCCAGGAGGAGGCCAGAATCAGCACCTGGACCCGCACGTAGGCACAGATCCAGCTGGAGCAGCAGTTTAGGCATAGAAACTGCACAGCCCAGACAATCATAAAACACTCAGCATGCTTGATTCCCAAACTAGAGCAACACAAAGTAAACTGATCTAGGGTCCACTCCACCTGAGGGGATTGGTAAGTATGCACTGTGGTAGGTGCCCCCGGAGCATACAGACGGGTGGGTACCCCTACCCCTCCTAACCAAGGGTATGAACAGTCAACCACTCTGTATCATCCTTCAATTTACAAGCCACTTTATTCTAGTCCCTTGAACATCACAGCCTGGCTTGATTTCCGACAGAGCAGAATCCATTTCCAGAGGTCCCTTGGCACGGCAATGACAATGAACAGCCCAGCACAGGAGTGACATAAACCTTCAGGCATCCAGCCTTCTGGGTGCTGCCGGGTCCCTTGGCCAAAAATGAGCGCACTGGATCGGACATACAAAGGCTTTCCCGGGAAGAAGGAGGAGAAGAAAAACAAACCTCGAGAAAGTGCAGACAGGGTCAACGGCAGGCCAGGACGAGGGCTATTTCTGTACATCCCAGGCGTGTTGGCGTTCATTAGCCATGCGTCTGGCTCTTGTTTTCTTTCCTAAACAGCTGGAGACCCTCTTCCCTGCTCCACACCCCAGCTCCAGGTTCCAGGGAACAAATGAGGCTGGGTCAACAAGATATCATGCCCAAGGGCAGGGCCCAGGTGGGTGTCCCAAACATTACCTCACTTTAGCATCTAAGGAGAACTAATAGGAGGAATTAGATCTTCAGTCGAGCTCAGGAAAAAGCGCGCTGTGACTCCTGACCCCTGTGGATGGAGGTACTGGCTCGCCTCGCGCACTCTGAGCTCCATGTCTAAGGTCAATTCTTTATTTTTCAAAACTAGATTTTATCACTTGGACCATGGAGGCTAGGCAAGTCTCAGTATGAAACACTAGGAGAAACTAACAGTCAGAGGAAGGTTAACATTATTTTGCCATGTCCAGGTCTGAAAATTTCATCCTGCAAAATTGGTTCATTTTGGTCAACCATACAAATTTGGATTTTTTGCTACCCGTTAAAACGGATTCAAGTAATACACAAGAATCTGGAGGGTAGAACGAGCGCAGCATCATCTCTCTCATGCTTATGATGCCCATCTTTCCGTGACAGCAGACAGATCTACTAGGGACCTCTCTGCCTTTTCTTGGGACAGGTGAGTGTTTGGGTTTCCTCATGCCTACTGCTTGCCGAAATATCGCTCCCTATGACCAGGGATTTTTACTTTTAATTTTCAGTTCCAATTAGTGGGTATGAGGTCGTCAGACTGAACAGCAAATCAAATTTGTGTTGTCGCTTCAGGAACTAAGAATCTGCATTCAAAGAACACAGTGATGGAAACCACCTTTGGGTTTCCCGTAGCGGACCTTGGAAATCACAGGAGCACTTGCTCCTGGCTTCTTCACGAAGAGATGAGGGTCCAACCTCCGCCTCTGCAGGGCCAGTCGGGGCATGGAAAGCCACCTTGCAGATGCGGCTCCCTAACCATTCATGTGGATTATACCGTTGGGCAGTCCCTTGCTGGGTCTACAGAATATTGATCCGCTCAGAAAAGCACCACCCCTCCAACGTAATACTGCCAAGGGGCTTCTGGGCTTGTGGGCAGGCCGTTACCTCCTATCTTCCCTAAGTATTGACCTTCTGGTGCTCCAAGTGACGTGCCCCACTTACACCTGCCCTGCTTCCGTTCTCCAGGCACTGCTGCTCTGGAAAAGCATTCAAAAGTCCGTTTGGGCCCTAGTCATGGTTACTTTGTACTTTTCTAGAATATATAAAATATACCTGTTGATTGGTGCATTTGTGCAAAGACAGATATGACTTTAAAACAAGACACAGACATTCATTATAGTTGGCTTACTTCACAATAAGCTACTAGAAACAGTCTTCTGTAATAAGTTGGGATTAGTGCTCACTAAACATGCATTTTATTTAAAGGCAAAACACTTAATTTGGTCTGCAATACCCAATATTTTATATACAGCATTCTTCTTTTCTTTCTTTTCTTTTTTTTTTTAAATCACAAGAGGCAACAAGATAGGTCTAGTCTTGGAATATGCGTTACCATTTGTGATTAATTTCCAAAGAAACTCATCTTAGCTCAACTAGTGTAAACCTGTGAAAAAAGAGCTGAGCCATCTTTTCCTCTTTGCTATTAATTTATCTTGAAATGTTCACAGCTTAAAAACTACAGCCTGCTGGGGAAGGGGGTAGGACGGGCCTGCAGGGGCGGAATTCCTCAGGTCCCTTTAACAGCCTGGCCCAGAAGATTCCTTATTCTTACGGGGATCCCGTAGCTGGTGCCATCGCCCCTCTGGCATGTGTGACAAAAGACCCAGGGGGCAGTTTTGCTTTTCAAACAAGCCCTCAAAGCTTGAAATGCCATCCTGACACCAGATTGTTTTCCCTTCTTTTGCCTCTCTGAGTCTTCGGTGTTAGAACAGAGACATTAGAATCAAGAGAAAATAACAATAACGATTAAAAATCATCGGAACAACAAACACCACAAAGTCTGTGCACGACACACATGCTCTCCACAAGCGCTGGGGTTCTGGGCATTCCCACGAAGCGACCACCACAAAAGAAGCTGAAGGCGTCACAGAGGAAGGTGCATGTGACTGCACAGGGAACAGCATCACTGTCAATATTTGGCAAAAAAAAAAAGTTACAAAGAAAAATCAAAAGAGAACAAGCAGCTCTGTGATTCGTGGGGTGTGGGCTCAGAACTGGCCCGCGCTGCTGGGGTCGCACTGCAGGAGGCGCACTATGGACGGGTCGCTCTTGGCCCCTCGGATGAACTCTTCCAGGGAGAGTTTTCCTAGAAAGCAAGAGGATGGAGCACAGGTGAATGGCGGCAGGTGGCAGCTGGTGAACCTGCACTCTTCCCACTCCACCTCGGAGGCAGTGACAGCTCCCCTTGTCCCTGTCGTCCCACACTTGCCGTGAGGCCCATACTCTGTCTTCCGGATGCAAGACCCACGCACATTTCTTCCCGAGAGCCCGCTGTGTGCCCACCCTGGATGGCCCTGAAGTGACACCTGCCCTCTTGGCTTTTCCACCGTGGAGGGGCTCACTCAGTATTTGTGGAAGGAATGGCCTTGGAGCCTTCGTGAGACCGAGCTGGGCTCTCCAGGCACCAAGGCCATTCCCATGATGTCACTAGAAACCTCCAGGCTCCTTCAGGTCACTCAGGAACGCTTAGGTTTGTTGCAAGGAGCCACAAGGATCCCTGAGGGAGGGCCCCTGTTGGACAGCGCACGAGGCGAGGAAAATAGAGGCGTGTGCGCAAAGCAGGGGGTGCCGGTGGTGCCTTCCATCAATCAGCGCGCTTTCTTCCTGCCCTCACAGGCTGGAAGAGGAACACTCAGCCCCTTGGGGTCTCACTCCTACCCCTGTCCCTCCCTGAAGGTCCCTCTGTCAGGTGGCTGGAAGGAGGTAAAGCTTCCCCCGACCCTCCCGTTCCTGGTGCTTCCGGAAGGGCCCCTCCACGAGAGGAGCTGCCCGGCCTTCCTGCTCGGCTTCGCCGTCTCTTTCCTCTGCCCCCCAAGGACCCGTGTCAGGCTGCCCCGCTCCCTGCTGCTTCGGTCTCCACACCCACTGAGCTGCATCCTGCAATGAAGCTCCGTCCTCTGGCCTCAATTATTGCTCTTTATTTCTCAACTAATTCCACCTCCAGGCAGGGCAAGGTGTCATCTATTGGAGCCTTCACCCTCCGCCCCAATAAAATCTGTCTTCCCCTTGGCCACAGCCCCCTCCTCCCAATCCTAGTGCTTGGTTAACCAAATTCACCTTAGCTACATAAAGGGAAACGGCAGGAAATTTACTTATGCATTTATTCTCAATATGTAGAGCAGGCCCCCTCTAAGCTTAGTGTCCTTGCCATGTTTTATGAGCTATGCCCGGACTCAGGCACTGGCTGAAATGGTGACAACATCCCCGGCTTTGAAGGCTGGTGGGAAGGAAAGGAGACAGGCGTGGTCCCTTGACCGCTTTGGGATCTCCCAAAGGGTGACGCTGGGCCTAGAAGTTAGAAGTGGTAGAATGAACCCTGTGTTCAAGGTACACAACCAGCTCTCGCTGGTTAACCACTCTGGGCTTCCAGGATGTCCCCGGCTGACTGCGGGCTCAGACTTTGCCCATCGAGTCAGTGGCCAGGGGTTAGAGGCAAAGAGCTTCTACCAAGAATGCAATGGCAGGAGACACTGGGTGAGCCCTGCTCCGGGCAGGGGTTAGACGTGGCTCTGGGGTTCTATGCTGTTGTCTGGATCTTCTCCCCTCCCTGACCCCTGTTCTAAAGAGGTGGCCGGGCCTGGGGCAGGATGCAAACCCACCTTTGCCCCCTGGAGCAGAGCAGAACATGCAGTTTAACATCAGTAAGTTCATCAACTATTAAAATAATCCCGTGGTTGTCTAGTCTTTGCAAAACAATCAAGCTATTTGCTGTGAGTCAGGTGCTAGGGAAAATAAGATGTCCTTGGCTGCAATGGGACCACTATGGAGGAAACAAAGCGAACAGGCCATGCTTGGCCTGCACCCACAATGCAGATCCTCAGGCAGCAGTGCCCCAGAGGATGTGGGATTGGACAGAGAGGCCCGCTCTACTTCACAGACTTCTGTCAGTCTGTCCATCAGCTCATCAAAGACAAGAATTGCGGGGGATGCACAGGAGAACAGGTGAGTTGGTAATAACAGCAGGAGCTACAAGTGGCTCGGGCTTATTAGGGCCCGGGCTCTGGTCTCAGCACGGCAAACCCAGGTATTACGTTTAGATCGGGCTGCCAGATCTGGCAAATAAAATACAGGATGCCCATTTAACTTTGAATCTCAAAGAAACAACAAACAATTTTTTTCATATAAGTATGTCCCCTATATTGCATAGGGCATACTTGTATGAAAAAAATAATTTTCATTTGTTGTTTATCCAAAATTCAAAGATAGCTGGGCTTCCTGTATTCTGTCCTGCAACCAAACATCTAAAATCTGTTCTGAAGTTTGAAATCCAACCTCCCTTTTCATTTTGGTTTGCTTTGCATCCCCTTGTTGGGTTTGAATTGTGAGGGGCATCCTCAGGGTAGAATCTGTTGGCCACTCGTCTCTCCTCGCATCCTTACCCACCCCTTGGCTGTGGGAGCCCACCTGGCTCTAAGAAACCACAGCGCGCATGAGGGAGAGCCCGCTGACACCCTGGCCAGCTGAGGGAAAGCCGCCAGGGCCTGGGTAGGATGACAGCAAGTCCCTCCCCACTTCCTGATTAGCTCACCTGCAGGGACCCAGCCTGCTCTGCCTAGGCCTGTCCCCGCCCTTGGTCCTCTATCCTGCTCTGCCAAGGAGCAGCAGGGCGAGCCACTTTTACAAAGAAAGGGCTGTGAGCCAGGTCCTTGTGGCCACTATCTTGTCCCCAAGTGGCATTTCCATGCTGGGACACCCCCAGCCCCTCCAGCAGCTCGCTCTCGGAGCAAAGCGAAGCAGCCTCAGCCACCTACCATCTCTATTGGTGTCCATCTGGCGGAAGATCTTTTCTGTCCTTTTCTCTGGGGTTGACTCATCCTCAGGCATTTTCATTACAGAGGAAACCATCTTATAGATCGCCTGGGGACGGAAGCAACACAGTGGGAACAGGGAAACACAGTTTGGATCGGCACACAATAGCCCCGTCATTAACTCTCCCCAATACAGGGGTGAATGAAGGGAATGCCCCGCTTTCACAGAGGGGCTGGCCCCATGCCTGCTGATCTGTTGTGGAAACAGATGCATAGACTCTGGTGGCACAAGCCAGGTCCGCAGAGCTTGCTCTGGCACCGAGAAACTTCAGGAGTGACAGCTGTCAGGGAGACCCACCAGACCCCTGGGTGTCAGGCTTTAATGTGCATATGAATGCCCTGGGAATCTTGTGAAAATGCGGAATCTGACTGAGTAGGGTGGATTGGGGGATGGGGACCTGAGATTCTGCAATTCTAACAAGCTCCTGTGTGATGCTGATGCTGCTATTCTGAGGACCCCACTTCTAGGAGAAGGCTGCAGGTGACATTCCTCAAGCCCAAGGGACAGGTTGGTGTCTGCTGTGGTCGCCAGCTAGGTCCCTCGGGATGCTACACGCTAGACAGTCTGCAAGCGCGGGGGCTGGTCTCGCAGGCAGACGTTACCCATCCATCCAATGCTGTCCCCTTGTGTGTGGCAGTCGCCTCACATTCCTTCTCGGCAAGCTCCCACATATCCCCAAAATGGAAACAATCTGCCGTCCAAGTTTTGGATTAAATAATTATGCAGTCTTGGGTTTGAGATAAACTGCGTACATCTGAAATCTGATGAGCAAAAGAGGGTCGTCCTGAAGGAGCTCTGTCAGCAGTACTGAACGGCCTCCCCGCCACGACTGTGGACACCGTCTTCCCGAGGGTTGTCAGATGCAGTTGTCAGATGCAGTTTTTATATGGGAAGAATAACGTAGAGTCATTTTTATCCCCAGATCATGAGTTTACTATTCAGATTCACTGAGGGAACTTTAGCTCTGGGAAGGAGTTTTAGAAAACGTAAATTCTGCCAGAGGATGGGCACAAAAGTACAGAAAGTTCTGGAACTCCAGGTGCAGTGGAATAGCTGGAGGGAGGAGAGTGAGGAGAGCTAAGGGCAGGTGGCCTCCAGATGGGAAGTAGGAGCAAATTTGATACTAAAGGCTGAACTTATCTGCTTTCCAGTCTTGTTTAGGATCAGCCTGCCTCAAGTCCCTAAAATGTTCTGGAGAAAGGGGAGTAAATACTCTAGTCCCAGTGGTGAAATAGGAATGAAAAATGGACTCACTCAGTGTGCTGCCCTTGGGCTGATCTTACCCCATAGGGACCCCCCAGCGCAGGCTTCCTGAGTCAGTCTTGAAGTCACCCAAAGCCCTCACTGAACTCCAGAGCTGCCTCCGCAGCGATTCCGTCTGGGAGGAAGGTCAAGCTCACAGCTGTGGCCTTGTCTGGGACTATGGGTGTCATTGGGATAAACTTGGCCACAGTCAGCTTTCCCAAGAAACATTCAGCAAAGTGTGCTCTGGAGACAAGAGGCAAGTCACACTCTGTCTTCCTCACGGACCCCTCCCTACTTGCTGTCCCCTCCAGCCCAGGTCTGCACCGCCAGCCAGCAGCGGTGCTGGGGTTAGTGTGCCCCATGCCGAGTCGCCGGGAAACCTGACACCCCAAGGAAACTAGCAAAGGCTGGAGAGCACTATCTTTACAAGTGGGAAAAAGAGATGCTTAGATTTCACAGGCCAGGTAAATATTTAGTAACAGGAGTAGAAAGCAGAAGTCTTTCATTCATTCTTTTTTTTTTTTTAACTGTTGTTCAGTTACAATTGTCCCCATTTCCCCCCCTGCTGCAGAAGTCATTCTATAACAGCAGTGTCTGAGGTCTAGCACCCTTGCCTTGGCTTTCTTTTCTCCTACGTGGAAGCTTTTCTGTGACACACACACCTCGCAGGAATGTCAAACTTGGATACGAGTAATCTAAATGTTTTGCGAATTCATAAGCCCAGGAATCTTAAAACAACAACAAAAAGAATATCTAGAGGAAAGTATTTCACTAGATTATGTAAGTGTGGCCTCTTTATAGGAGCAAGAGCTGATATGTTGCACAAGTTGTAGAGGTGATATGGGAAGAGCATTGATAAGCAAACCGTGACTTTACTTTTTGGCAGAAGTCTTAAGGATATTGCGTTACATGTCCTCAATTTTCGGGGTTCGTTGTTCCTTTCCTGGTCTGTTCTGGCCTCAGTAAGGTCATCTCACTTTGTAGTTCTGGGTGACGCTTGCTGAGCATCTGTAACCGGCCAAAGGAGGCATTCCCCACCTCAGATTCTTTGCAAGGGCTATAGAGAGCCCAACAACCTGTACAACACACACCTTGGTTTCCTGGACCAGCAGCTTTGCCTAGACTCTTCTCTTATTTGAGTGTTTACTTGCCCCTCTTCTCTTACCTTGAAATCCTATCCATGGGCTAAGGGCAGATTGCTATGTTACATTCCTCCAGGAAACCTTCCATGGTCTTCTTTCCTTCTACTGCTATGTGTAATTTTCTTTCCTCTTTAATGTCTCCATTTAAACCTCTCCTGAGTCACTTCACTCCCCTCACCATGACTTGTAGTTACCCAGGACACTCCCCTTTCAGATGTGAGGGTGGCAATCAGCTCTGGCTATTCATCGGACCCTTGCTAGTCCCAAACACGGGTCTGGCACAGGCCTACGCTCACTAAGTTTAGGGGATTCATTCAGGAATAACTGTTCCCCATCCCAGCACTTTCTTCATGCTTTGTCCTCCCTCAATTTTCTTCTCTTATGCTTCTCATTATAAAGTTCCTCCTTTATCCTTTCATAATTTTTTCTTATTTCCCCAACCTCTTCTTTTTTCTTCCCCCTTTCTTCATATAATTGAATATACTTATGTGAAACCTCTCAGCCTGTCAAAAGTGATGTGTCCTCACTTTAGAAACCCGTGCTCCTGGATATATACTTGGTATTGCAGGCAACTTTAGGGCTCAGGGATTCAAGACCCCCTCGACAGCCATCCGGTTAAGAAAATGCCTGCTCCGTGGTTACTCCCCCAGCCCGTTCCCACTGTCACACACAAAATATTTATTTATTGATCAACTATTATATACCAAGCCTTAACATCTACCCCATCCTTGCCATCATGAGTTTACTGTTAAATAAGGCAGACCAACATTATTCAAATAATCAAAGAAATGAATGTAAAACCTATGTTGAAAGCAGTGCTACAAAGGAAGATGAGTGGTTTTATGAGGTGATGTGTTGGGGATATTGGGCCTTGTCAGGAGAGTTTGCGTAGGCTGCCGTGAGGAGTGAAGACTGAGGAAGAGATGAAGAAAACGTAGAACGGAGAGAGGTAAAGGACAGAGGGGAACACACGTGTAAACACGGAGTTGAGGGAAGTTGTAAGAAGTCTGAGAGAGCGTGCAGGGGAGCGTGGCACGAGGTGGGGCTCCAGGGTGGGTAGAAACAGACCACTGGGCCTCACAGAACATGTTAAGGTATTTGTATTTCTCCAATGAGCAACAAAAAGATGGCACTGTTAATAAATTTGAATTTATTATCTACATCTACTTCCCAAATCCACCTCTATTTTCCTATTTGCTGGCAATGGTATTGAGAGAATTAAAAAACAGTTATTCATAATTAAATATTTATTGAGTGTTTACTATGTTCTAGCTGATAAGGATTCAATTATCAACAAGATGAGAGGCTCTTTCTTATTTTGCGTCTCACCCATCCTCTTGCACAGGACTTGGGAAACACCAGATTGAAGACCAAGAGCACTCATTCCTCACAGGCACCATTTAGATGGGTGTAATGATTCTCGTAATGCCTTAATAATTGTTATGAAAGTCTTCACCTACACTGTGTCTGGGTCCCCTGGTGGCAAGTAAAATCCACTGGTCTGAAGCATTCCTTGTAACTCTAAACCTCTAATAGTTGGGGCTCATAAAATTATAATTATGGGGATTCTGATGGGAAGTCAACTGTGTAATAACCTACAGATTATTCCCTAAAACTCTTGGTTGAACAAATGAAGGAAAGACCCAGGAGACAAATGAATTTGTATTAGAAAATGAGGCTCTCACATTCAACAGAAGTCTCGACAGAAGGGTTTTGGTCTTTAGCTATTAGGCAAAAGGAGTGGGGTTCGGACAGAGAAATAAGCATGTTAATACGAAACAAAACAAAACAAAACAATAAAGTCAGGATGCCCTTACATGAATGTATTTGCAAACAGGGCTTCTGGAATGGAGTAAGAGGCTAATGTCTGAGTACCTTGCGGGGCGGAGGAGGAGGTGAGTGCTCCTTTAAGAGGCCCACATTTACAAATGGCTCTCATAGCACTCAGAGGAGATGTTTTCGTTGTCTTTTTTTAAAATGTGCATCAACTCACAGACAGGATGTACACAAAATCAGGTCTATGACGTGAGTGGTACTAGAGCAGTGAGCGAAGAGCCAGGGTGACGAGTCCCAGTGGTCCCGAGAGTGAGTAAGAGGATGACAGTCGGGCAAAATCACATTTAGGGAATTGTCTGTCCCGTTGCTCCCTTCCCACGGTACCAACAGCCCAGAGTTGATTGCATTAGAACTTCAAAATCTAGGACTTCACAGCACAGGGAGGGAAAAGATACAGCTCCAGACAGCAATCTGAAACAAATCATGTCTTTTATTAGCTCCAATTCCTCCCTCACCTCCCCCACCCCCAAATTAATGGGATTAAACCATGAAGAGGCCAGGCTACTTCCCTACTTTATTTTTAGCAACATCAATGAGAGGCCCAGCAGGGACATCCTGTTTTTAATTAAACTTGAAGAACCCTATTCTTGTCTAGGGGTAAATGCAGAGCAATGGGACACCCCGGAGCCCAGCTCTGGCTCTGCCCTTCACAGGCCCTATGGCCAGGGGTCTCACCAGCTTCCTTATGGTCTATATTTTTCTTTCTTTTCCCCCCCTTGGAATGTTGGAAAGGAAGGACTCACATCCTAACCCATAAAATTTGTTGGGGGGCAGGCACAATTCCAAGAATTAAAGCTCAACCCTCTCTCTGAAGGAAACCAGACT